CTCAAACATGTCAATCGTGCTTCCAGAAGGGGAATTTCCTCTTCGGTGCACGACCTAAAGACGTGCCGCAGAGAGTCGAGTGTGCACTCTTCCTCGTCCTGCCAATAGTGAGGGTCGAGAATGGGAATTCCTGGTAGATTGGTTAACCCCTGACGTCTGGCAGCACGAGCGAGGAGCAATTTCCCAGGTAACGGCATTTGATTTGCAATTGCCTCCCGATCATTGATTGACCTTTGCCCAGGAGATTTGACAGGTCAAATTTACCCACCTTCATCCAATGCGCGCTGGATCGAGGCGACCAAGCTCCAGTAGCCCGTCCACCTCTTGTCCCGATACTCTACTGCGAACCTCTCCTCTTCAGGCCTCAAGGACCAAAAGGAAAAGTTCAAGAGATCCATAACAAAGATAAAGGCCACGGTCGTCTCATCCTTGGCCTTGGGGTGCAGCTCGTGCTCGGCCCAGGTAGCCGTGGAATACTCCTTTTCCTGCATCTGCTGGTGAATGAGGGCGGCGGCGTTCTTGGTGGCGCGCATGTCGACGGCCACGTCAATGGCGTTGTCATAGACATACTCGGCCCCCTCGAGCACGCCGGTTTCGGGTTCATCCTCGACGGTGAGCTTGCCCTGAATATGCTGGCGGAGCAGCTCGAGCAGTTCCGGATCAGCCTCGTCGTCCGACATTTTACGTTGGTTGTGACGAGCGAAAAGGTTTCCCACTCAAGACAAAAAAAAAAGGTCAATTGAGTTTGGCAAAGTTTGGCCGACGAGGCTGGGTACGGTAAGCTTTGGTGTCGAGTTCCAAGAAAAATAATTTCGAGATGCAGGGACGATGCAGGACGTTGGAGGAGAATATGTAGTGTGTTGATTTTGAGCGAAGAAAAGGGTCGGTGAAAGGCACTTGGTCAGGGGACCTCTCATTAGTGAGGTACTACTACATATTACTACATACTTCTACTGACCAAAAAATTTCTCGTAAAAAAAGGTGCAAAAGACTGAAATGAACTTGGATGGTCCATTGAGGATCTTCAATCAAATCTCGCGATGAGATTGGTCTACATACAACCTCACCATGTACGACCCTGGATCTACACAATTTTGTGTTGTCGGTCTCACCATAATGAGGGGCTCCGCGGGGTGCCTCACAGATTGACTCTGGAGAGTGCTGTGCAGCCCCTGGCCTCTAGCAGTTGGCACAGGCCAGTCAATAGCATCTCGGCGCTGCCCATAGTGTGGAGTTTGTCACCAGGTTACTTTAACGGCCGCACGGTATGTGCCAGGTCCACCAAATCATCCGAGCTACGATTGCGTATCTGTAACAATTGATTTGATGACAAAGATCGGTCTACTGTTTCTTTTGAGGTAGATAATTGATTTATTCGCGCAGATATGCATTCCATAATAATGAAAATAAAGTCTTTGTTGGTGACTTTTGTATACAAGCAGAGTTTATTGGCACTAGCAACGGGCCACAGCCCATTAGGTATTGTCCTAAACCATAATTTTGCGATCCAACTATTCCTGCCGGTATATCAGACCCGAATCATTCCTCTGGCTTTGTACTAAATCTCTTGAGACGATACCAGGCTACGCAAAGGTCATCAAGGCTGATTCGATTTTGAGGCATTCGAATTGGTTTCTTTCGCCGTGACGAGAAGATGCATGCCGACTCGTGGTAATTCATGGTATGCTCAAAGAAAGACGAGATACAAAAGAGCCTCGTGAATAGTGATACAATGAACTGGTCGTTACTCTTGTTCATTTTTGCTCCCATGACGTAAATAGGGAATTGCCAGGCTAGGGTTGACCTACATAGTATCAAGCAGGCATACGAAGCTGATCATTGCCCACCATATCAGTACATAGTATGTCCGTGAGGTTTAGCCTATTCACTATTCGACACCACGAAGTAGCCCAGCCAACTCCAAACAGACCGGAATACGGGATGAGATAGACAACATTGCTGTCCTCGAGTATTATACGAAGTATGCAAATGTGTGCCAACACCGTCTTGCCAAATACAAAAACCATCTGAGAGACATTGATGGTTTGTATGGGTAGTACGCTAGAGCCAAAAAGGAATAGCTACCAGCATCGAGAATGAACTACAAGTCTTTCTGGTTCTTGGTCCAAAACATGAAGCTGACCTCGGATGGGTGATGCCCAGGTGATGGATGCTACCAGCTAGAGAGCCGCTAGAGGTACCACTTTTCAGTGGTTTTAGGTGGGTAGGTACGTAATTGCAAGGCATGGATTTCGCCCATGTGGGTGCTGCTCAAAACTGAAGCTTGCAGCTACCAGGTACCCCATTAGCGTCACTGTGGCGCACCTAAGCGACGACTTGAGAGGTTGATTCCGCAGGCATTCAGACACTGGACGTGAGACTTGCTTCATTCATTCATTACTACCTTGCAGACGCCAACAACAGCCCGGAAAACTCAGGCTTGCATTTTACAACCGCGACTACAAAAACATTACACCTCGCGCACGTCTCTAAACCCTCCCTCCACCATATGCATCTTCGATATCCGCCTTCGTGACCATACGTAGCCCACCATGGCGGCGCCTGCTACTCCAGCTACGCTGAACCGCGATAGCTTCAACCGCCAGTCGCTCGGCGTCTCCCTCAATGCAACCGTCAAAGAGGTGAGTCTTGTCCTTTTCTTTCATCGCTTCGCGGCACGGCGCATATGCAATCGTGTTTGCGCTCGCAGACCTGCATGTCTTTCATCCAACACTGTCTAGCGGCTGCCCAGAGCCCACCTGCGAGAAACATTACACCTTGGGTCCCATCACATACGTTGCGCCCGGGCTCCCCAATCTTTGAAAGTGATTCTCAGGACAAGCCCTGGCTTTGGGATGATACCTCCAAGACCACTCAACTCTGCCTATTCCATCATGCGACTCTAGAGACACGATGGATCTGTTTGAATGCGGCGCATCTTTGGTGGTCTTGCTAACAAATGTCCCACAGGCCAAGGTCCTCATGGTAGGAGCAGGCGGCATTGGCTGCGAACTGCTCAAGAACCTCGTCCTTTCCGGATTTGGGGAGGTACACGTCGTCGATCTCGATACGATTGATCTCAGCAACCTGAACCGACAATTCTTATTCCGACACGAACACATCAAGAAGTCAAAAGCAGAGGTATGACGCACGCAAGCAAGGCAGGACTTAGAGAGAATGGACATATGGGTGGTATATTGACATTTGCACTGTAGGTCGCAAAAGAGGCTGCGCAAGTCTTCAATCCGAACGTCAAAATCATCCCTTACTTCGCAAACATTAAAGATTCCCAATTCAACCTGGAGTGGTTTCGCAGCTTCAAGCTCGTCTTCAACGCGCTGGACAACCTCGATGCTAGGCGACATGTCAATCGCATGTGTTTGGCTGCCAACATCCCTCTGATTGAGAGCGGTACGACGGGCTTCAACGGCCAAGTCCAGGTCATCAAGAAGGACGTCACTGCATGCTACGACTGCACAGCAAAGGATGTGCCCAAATCCTTCCCCGTTTGCACGATTCGAAGCACCCCGAGTCAACCAATACACTGCATCGTCTGGGCCAAGAGCTATCTTCTCAACGAAATCTTTGGTGTTAGCGAGGACGAAGCTGCCTTTGACCACTCAGAGGATGCCGACAATGCAAAGGAGATTGAGGAGCTCAAGAAAGAAGCTGCTGCTTTGAAGAGTATCCGAGAATCAGTAGGCACGGCAGAATTTCCGCAATTGCTTTTCGACAAGGTCTTCAGTGCCGATATCAAGCGACTATGCTCCATGGAGGAAATGTGGAAGTCTCGAGAAAAGCCAAAGCCACTAGATTACGCAGAAATCAAGACCAATCTGCCCTCGATTGACGATGCGTTCCTCGAAGACGGCCAAAAGAAATGGTCCCTCGAGGAAAATGTTGCTGTCTTGAATCACAGCCTCGATCGGCTCAGCAAGCGTATAGCTGAGATGAAGAAGGAGCAAGAGAAGGGCGAGACTTCTGCTGCACCTACCATCAGCTTCGACAAGGATGACCCAGACACGCTCGACTTTGTGGCTGCAGCGGCAAACATCCGTGCTCACATCTTCAACATTGACCTCAAGACACGCTTTGATATCAAGCAGATGGCCGGCAACATCATCCCCGCTATTGCCACTACAAACGCCATTGTCGCTGGCTTGTGCGTGTTGGAATCATACAAGGTGCTGAAGGGAGATTACAACGATGCCAAGGAGGTGTTCTTGACCCCGTTTGCGAACCAGAGATTGCTGGCACCTGATCGACCCCGTCCGCAAAACCCCGAGTGTCCCGTGTGCACTTCCTACTATACGGGCATCTACGTGGACTTGTCACGAGCCACCTTGAAGGATGTAGTTGAGGATTTTGTCAAGGGCCAGCTAGGCTACGGCGATAAGGAATTTTCCATCACAAGCGAGAGTGGTCTATTGTACGACCCCGATGAGACAGATCAGCTACCCAAGAAGCTGACAGATATTGGTATGCGATCTCGAACTTCAAAATCTGAATATTACACTGACAGTGTCTAGGCCTTACAACCGGCAGTTCCTTGACAATCGTTGACGAATCTGACGAGGACATCTTTGTCAATGTCGTCCTAGCTATCCTTGAGTCGTAGGCTCCCATTACTCATCGTCTGTTGAATATGTATATTGACTCCATTTGTAGAAAGGAACCGCTTGGTGACAAAGCGATCAAAGGGCTTGAGCCGGACAAGGCACCGGCGATCCCGCACAAGCCCAAGAAGGAGCCGGCACCGGAGAGCAATGGCGTTGAGAAGACCAACGGCAAACATGCCCTGGACGAGGATGTCACCACCAAGGACCTCAAGCGTCCCCGAACAGATGAGGCTGATGACCAACAATCTTCAGCCAAGAAGGCAAAAACTGCCGCAAAACCTGACGAGGACGATATTGTGGTTGTCGATGATGGCGGTGCCATTCTCATTGATGACTGAACGATATAGGATTGTATTTCACCTTTGAGCACAACTCCCATTGCTATGTAGCACTCAATCCGCCGTCCAAATTCAAGACGGTGTTGTGTGCATATGGGTTCTTGGCCAGAAAGGCTGCGGCATCTGCCACTTCCTCGGTTGTCCCGAAACGCCCCAAGGGAATGGAAGTAGAGAGATTGCCCTTCTGGTCTAACGCTGAGCAGTTGGTTGTATATTAATGACTTGTACTAAGCGAGGAGGATTGGTTTAAGGGGTGGCCATGACGGAGCCAACAACAAAAGAAGAAACCGCTGCAAGCGGTGGGTTGGGAATGAAAAAGATTTTGGGACTCACTTTGTGTCATTTCGGTCTGAATATACCCAGGCAGCAGGACATTGACTCGGATGCCGAATTGGCCAATCTCTGTGGCCAAAGATCGTGTTAGACCTAGAACGAACATAATGTCACCGCGTTAGATAGTCATGTCAACAGAAGAGATCTATGGCCATTGACGAGAACTCACCAACAATTCCTGCTTTCGAGGCTGCATAGACACTGGCTCCACGTCCGCCCTTGATGGCCAGCAGGCTCGAAACATTAATGATACATCCTAGACGGTCGCTGTCAGTTCATGGAGCACGGCGGCGATGCCAGGAGGATTTACCTTTGGTCTTTTGCCTGATCATCCAGTTACTGATGGCCCCGCAGCCCTGTATGGTGCCCATGAGATTGGTGTTGATGATTTGTTGATACTTGTGAAATTCGCCCCTGAAAAGAAGCGAGTCCTGGGTTACGCCAGCTGCATTGACGAGTATATCGACTGGTCTTTTGGACTATACAATAGATTTGAGTAAACAAGGGATTTTATATTCACTTTTCTGTGCTCTAAACAGGAGCATAAACACAATAGCCTTTAAATCTCAACAAGTCTTAAGCTTACCTCTTTCAACTTATTGGTCAGTTCACCCCAGCCTTGGATCTCGCCCACGTCAAAAGCGTGAAGGCCGTGCGGGACCGACGGCTGCGTCGTCTCGCCCTTGTGCTCTGGAGAAGACGCAGAGAGACTGTCCAGGGCTGAGCGCAGCCGGCCCTCGTCACGACCGACGAGGGTGACTGATGCGCCCTCGGCGGCGAACCGGTGAGCAATGGCCAACCCAATGCCCCGGCTACCACCTGTGATGACGGCGTGCTTGTTGAGGAGGCTGCGCATGCCTGGGGTTTAAGGTGTTTTGGTTCTTGAGTATGGGTAGATTATTGCTTCGATGACGAGTTGCTGTCAAATACTAGCAAACATTAATTGATGTATGCATTGATTTCTCCAAAGATTATTGGTGATGGTTCAATCTGTCTACGGGGTAGCAATTATTGAGTTGTGCTTGGTGACGCGTTGGTTATGAGCAGTCGATCCAAGTATCTCCCCCCACACTAAATAACTTAGTCGAGACTGGACGACAACATACTCGGCGGTACACAACGAGTACCAGACAAGCCAAGACTTCCAGTAGAAATGTCAATGAACGGGAAACATAAGCTCAACGCTATGGCAGATTGAGCGGAACTGGATTTTAAATTCCAACCCCTTGCAGTCTTTTGTTGTTTTGCACATATCAAAAGCAGGTGAGTTCAATTGTTGGTTTTCGATACATGCTAAATAGGGCTTGTTGTGAGCCAATTCACACATCTGGCCGAGGCAAGACAGCAAATACATCACTAAATCTGCGATGCATGAAATTCATCTGGGATCTATGTTATCCTACTCTTCTTATAGCGGTACCTAATTCTAATACTTTGCTACTTTTGATCGTACGTGAAGTGACGCAACTTGGGAGCCGCGGATCCCGCTGTGAAGGAGCCAAGGTAATACAGTGCCTTCTTTTTTGGGACAGGTTTGCCAATCTGCTCGAGTCCATGTCAATGTGAGTGGCAGTTTCAGTATTAGGGGTTGTTTCTAGGTACATGATTCTGACGCCAATTAGCAGTTCGCGCTAGAGGCGCAACGAAAGACCCTCTAGCTCTCGGCGGGTCTACGCTAGGTTAGAAGGTACGTACAGTGTGCGATTGTGCTCTTCCGGGACTGCAACTACTCACCTTCTTGAAGATATCGGCGTTATTCTTACAACCCAAACTTTCTGGTTCCAGTGCAAACAGGAGGAGGCGCGATCCTTCTGGGCACGACAATTTGATGCGCAGATCTTAGGAAAAACTCATCCGTTCTCTTGATCTCTCTCACCCACCTCCGACATTCAGAACGAGCCCAAAGTCACCATTCATGCATATCCTCACGACGAGGCGTACCACCACCCCGATCCCGAGCTTCAGTCCAAATCCACCACAGCCACGAGACACGACGATAGTCCGAATACCCCACGGCAGCTGCTACCATATTCAATGAATCAGTCCTACGGCAATGGCGCCGTGAGTGCGTCTCCCGAGTTCTCGAAACTAGATACATCGGCCGCGACCCTCGAGCAAAAGAAGGAGGGGTCTACCATAGATGCTGGCTTGCGAAGTTTGGATCACTGTACGTGAGCTTTCCTGTGGTCAATGGCTGGCGCAAGCGCATGACAAGGCTGTCAAATTCCACAGTACTTGCGCGCGCGCTTTCCAGCGACCTTGTCTCACAGTTCTCCCCTTGAATTGCTACTGCTGCTACCCGGACTACGCTTCGAGGAAGCATTCAAAGGCCATGCGCTCACGGTATCTTCAGATAGACGAGCGCTCCCGAAATGGCGATACGATCTACGACAGCGGCTGTTGCCTCTCATAAGATGGGAGACTCCCTATCTCGCCTTGCTCCAGGAAACCTTGCGTACTCCGGCTCTGGATAGTTATTTCGCCATCACCGCGAACCTCGGCACACACACTTTCTTCATGATCGGCCTGCCAATCTTGTTCTGGTGCGGTAATGCATCGTTTGGCAAAGGGTATGTTTGCAACCTACTTATTCTCATGGATTCTGGACCATGGCGATCTATTGAATGCTCATACACACTACAGACTCGTACACATCCTCGCCGCTGGCGTCTTCTTCACCGGTTTCGTCAAGGACTTCTTTTCGTTGCCAAGGCCCCTCTCCCCGCCACTCCACAGAATCACCATGTCTGGGTCCGCAGCTCTGGAATATGGTTTCCCGTCTACACATTCTGCCAACGCGGTTTCGGTCGCGGTATACGGTATGCTCATATTACACTCACCTGACAACACGTTGCAGCCCAATACGAAATTCGCGCTCGAAGCGTTGGCGTACTGCTACACAGTCAGCATCATTTTTGGTCGGCTGTACTGCGGTATGCATGGTTTCCTCGACGTCATCATCGGCTCGGTAATGGGCGCAGTCATATCGCTCATCGAGTTTCACTACGGCCCAGCCATTGAGATATATCTGCGTGAGCAAGCAATTACGGGGGTATTGGTCTTGGCGCTAATCATTGTCGTTCTTGTCCGAGTACATCCGGAGCCTGCTGATGACTGCCCTTGCTTTGACGACAGTGTTGCCTTTGCGGGCGTCGTAATTGGTGTCGAGATTGGCACATGGCATTTCTCCAACACCCTCTTTGCCCTCGTTCCTTTTGACCTCGAGACTCTGGGCTGGGTCAAGGTAATTGTGCGTATCCTAATTGGTGTGTTCTGTGTTGTGGCATGGCGGGAAATCGCCAAGCCCGTGTTGCTCAAGAGTCTCCCCTACGTCTTCCGTATCATTGAGACGTGGGGCCTAGCATTGCCCAGACGATTCTTCATGCCGGCCTCGGAGTATCAGAATATCCCCCTTCGGCTGCGAGTCGATAACATGATGCCCAATGTGAGCGAGATCCCAAAGTTTGTCAATAACATTCGACGAGGTGGCCGTGGAAGGTCTGTCAGCATTGGACCACAAAGTGCAGCAGACGCCTACGAGACACTGGCCTATCGCGAACGCAGGCGGCGGGAGAGCATTGGCAGCAACGGCAGCGTGAGGAGCAAGGCGAGCATTGCGGATCTCAAGGCAAGCTCTCCTCCGCCTGACTCGCCCGAAGATCAAGCAGGGCGAAGTAGTGCCATCAGTGGTGCAAGCAAGCTGAAAAATTATGAGGACATGATGGGCGAAGGAACAGTGGTTGTCTCGCCCAGCGAAGAAAAGGACAACGAGGACCCGACCCTTTACATTGGGCAGCAGGATGAGCTCGGCGAGCGAGAGGTCTTTGCCAAGTTGGTCAAACCAAGAGTCAGATACGATGTCGAGGTTGTCACGAAATTGGTGGTGTATGGTGGTAAGTTGCCTATTGTCTATTTATTTCGGTCGAGACGGGCGAGGAACGAGAGCATGGCACCACACATCCTAGAGTGGTGGTTTATACCAACCTCACGGATGCACCGGATGCAGGACTCCTTCAACAGGGTGGAGACTTGTGCGACTGCCTGCTTTCCGGGACAAACGATCCAATCATGTTTCTGTTGGTGCTGACTTGTTTTATTTCCAGGTATCGGATTAGTTGCAGTCGATTTTGTTCCCATCATGTTCGAGTTTGTCGGCTTGGGTGCTGGCCACCCTGCCTAGAGGCTGATATCAGCACTCTCCATTTCGGTTGCTCAAGATTGGAAGTACACGGCTTTTCAATCCCGCGGTCTTGAGTACTGCTTAGAAATGATGCTTGAATGATGGAACGAAAGCGTTTATCTTGTATATATATATGAGCGGCTCAACGGTATTCCGCATATACGCCCCACGACTATATTTTGGTTAGGGTTCTACTGAATTTGATGATTTTACTTTTTATTTTTCGCGTTTATTACCATTACGCAGTGAACCTCTATTAATTATTGGAAAATCGTTCCGAGCGAGCTCCTATATTTCATTGGAGAGGATTTGCCAGGTCTTTCGTACAATAAACTAAAGATTTGGCTTGGCAACCTCAACATAACAAGATTCAACTTATCCGACTCTGACGACGGCATAGCTTCTTTACAGCCACTCTTTATGGAAGCCTCAATAGAAATGAATCAACTTTCTGCAAACGGAATGTTTTCTTGGCTGGTTACTCTATAGCTCAAATCTGGAATGAGAATTGTTTGGATAGGTGGAATGTGCAATCCTATGATTGACCCTCATTAATCACAACTATCCACCTCACCAGACGCGAGACTTGCAAAGTCTTTATTGGACAAGGCGGAATATTTTCGGCGGATGCCTAGGCCATGAGCCAATGCTCTGATTGAAGCGCATATAAAAATCTCCATCCTATCAGTCCCAAGACCGCCCAGGCGGGACTGGGCTGATGTCTCTCTATCATGCAAGGAACCGCGTGACATGTAGAAAGTGCCGCATTCAACCAAAAGTAGAAACAAATGCCGGCTGCGTCCCACTCTGTTACATTGTTCCAAGAGCCGCTTTGTGGGGTAACAGAGCTGAAGCCCGTCTCTAAAAAGTTTGTGTGTAAAAATGATAATCAAATCATCTTTTGGTTTCCGGAATCTGGGGTTCCGCCTTGTCTTCATCTCCTACGTATATGAATCCCACCAATCAACACAACAGAGACCCACTCGGGTATTACCACATATGGTATACAGACAAGACAGCGGCACGCTCTTATTCGAGCGCTTCACTTCCTGGCTTGGTTTGTTATTCGTTTTGTTTTTATCATGTGAGATATGATGATTTTACAAGTATATCCTCGAATCAAAAATTCATGGCTTGCAAAAGCCAAGGTGAAACGGAATGCTTCAACACTTATAAGGATCCCTAGGTATGAGTTTTCGTCCTTTGCGCCATAGATCCATGGGGTCAATGATTGAATAATACGTTTCAGACAAGACACCCACAGCAAATTCTCCAAGACATGCTCGGGTCTCGTCTCCTCGCCGCCCTCTGGGGCGCGCTATGCTTCCTATTGGGCCCGGCGGCGGCCTTTACCAACCCGATCCGCAGCTCGGGCGGCAGCGACCCCTTTCTCGTCTACACGGGCGGCTACTTTTACCTCATGACGACGACGTGGACCGACGTCGAGATTGCGCGGGCCACGACGATTGACGGGCTCAAGACGGCGACCAAAAAGGTCGTCTACAGCACCTCTACGGCGTCGCGCTGCTGCAATGTCTGGGCGCCCGAGGTTCACTACTTTGACGGGACATGGTATATCTACTATACCGCTGGTGATTCGGCTGATTTGGATGGCCAGAACATCCATGTTCTCAAGGGTGTGTGACACAATTCTTGCTCCTTCTTTTGTTTTCCTTGATCGTTTTTACTAATCATGTAAAATAGGCGGCGCGACACCATACGATAGTTTCACCTACGCCGCACAGCTGACCAGCCAATGGACCATTGACGCCTCGATCCTGCGGACGAGCGCCTATGGCAACTTTCTCATGAGCTCGTGCTTCAACGGCAACACGTACCAGTCCATCTGCCTGCAGAAGCTGGGGTCCGACTACATCTCGGTGACGGGGTCCGTGTACACCATTTCGCAGCCGACGGAGTCGTGGGAGACGGTCTCGTACCCCGTCAACGAGGGGCCCGCGGCCCTCTACTACGGCGGCAAGACGTACATAAGCTACTCGGCCTCGTACTGCTGGTCGGCCTCGTACTGCCTCGGCCTGCTGACCTGGGACGGCAGCACCAGCCCCACGTCGGCGTCGGCCTGGACAAAGTCGAGCGGCTGCGTCCTGGCCAGCGCCAATGGCAACTACGGCACGGGTCACAATGGCTTCTTTCAAAGCCCCGACGCCACGCAGACTTGGATCGTCTATCATGCCACCTCGAATAGCGCCGGGGCTTGCGATGATTCGCGGTATACCATGGTTCAGCTATTGGGCACGCACTCGGATGGCTCACCCAATTTTGGTACGCCGGTGGACTTTGCGCATGTTTATAGCGAACCTAGTGGAGAATGATTTTTGGTTATTTGATATACTGTACATATTTGTGAAATATTTCAATGTACATACTTGAGTACGGCACTCAAATCTCTGAGTTGAATTGACTCGTAGTTCAATCGTGATAAGAAATGCCTAGGAAATGTGATGAATATTGATGATCGTCATGTGTGTGCGTTGAGGTTAGGCTTGTTGTGAGTAGCAATTCATCCCCTTTCCATTCCAAAAGATCAACGTTTACTATTGCCAAGCTCGAAATCTCTAGTGCCATTCCAGATGAGCCATTTTCATTTTACACTTTGGCGGTGAGACGAAAGATTTCTCCAAGACGCGTATACTTTCGACGTGGTCATTGTTTTATTCTGATGCCTAAAGCAACGTGAGAGATAACGACTATAGCACGCAAAACTAGCGCCAACCAAAGGTGAGTGGCCCAAGATCCCTGGTAACGTTGTTCTTTTAGGTGGGGGCCATGCCAGTTGCATATATTCATTGTGAATTGGACTCTTGCCTGAATTTGGTAGAAATTTACTCGTGTTGGTATTCAGAATCTATTAATTTATGAAATCAAACATTATTTCTTCCAACTCTTATCTATCAAGGCCTGCTTGGAAACCCTCCCCCATGTATTTCCCTCATTAATGCCTTTGTCTTTCATATGCCCCATAATAGAGTTTCATTCGTAAGCTTATTCAAACTTGACATTGAGCCTTTCCGCTGTCGTCTTGAACATTTCAGGAATGCCTGCATCTTCAAAACTAGTCCCGTTGCACACCATGTCGGCGACTCCGCGAGCAGTCGTAAAGATGAGCGCCATGCCGCCACCGTTGAAGCCCGCCAGGATCCATTGATTGTCCGTATCTGGTACCTGGCCAACGTGAGGGATACCGTCGGGAGTGGCGCCCATGACTAGAAACCGTAGTTAGCGCAAATCGATAGTTTTGAGACAAAGAGTTACCAGATTATACAGTATTAAGCAAGGCTTGTAAAGGAAACGAGAAAGGAAAAGAGGAAGAAGTAAACTCACTTCCACTCCAAGTCATGGCCGCCGTAGCCTCACAGTCCTCCCAACCCCGAAAGCATCGCGCCATGACTCCATCAAAGTGCTTCTTGACGCCCGGATCAATCAAGGTGGCATCATCGACGCTGTCAAACCACTGCGGATTCCTATCCTGCTCATCCTTGCGGTACGCCCCGCCGCCGCCCCCGAGGATAATGTTTCCGTCGGGTCGCGGCACCAGGTAATCGGCGTTTCCGGGCGTGTGAAACAGGTTGCGCGTATACGTCAGATTCTGCGACTGGTGCGCCTTGGCCAGGGGCACCAAGATGGAGTTTTGTCCGCGGAAGGGAATGATGCTCGACTGGTACTGCGGCAGCACGGCCGACGTGTAGGCATTGGTGGCGTAGACAATCTTTTTGGCCTTGGTGACGCCTCGCGGCGTCGTCAGAGTGACGAGGCCGTCGTCTCCGGGTTTGGAAATCTCCTCGACGGGGGTCTCGGTGTAGAGGAATGCGCCCATCTCGACGACTCTTTCCAATAGTGCCGTGACGAATTTATACGGCCACAGCGTGAGTGCGGGTACGCTGACTGCTGCCACGAGACCCTTCATTCCACTTGCCTATAATGCAATTAGTATGTGTACTTTCGGAGGAAGAGCCACAAGATATACATACCTTATCCAACATGGGACCTTCCAGCCACTGAACCTCTTGTGTCCATTTGGCCCCGGCCTCGCGCTGTTCCTCGAGAAAAGCCTTGATCTCCGACGCCTGCACAGGATCATAGTAGCAATCAAACGAGCGCGTCAGAAACAGGTCACAATCAATGCCCTCTGTCTCTTGCGCAGACTTGATGGCCGCCATCTGCGAGTGGACAAAGTCAAACAATTGTTGAGCTGCGTCGGAGCCAAACTTTTCGTGGTATTTCTTGATTGTGGGCATGAGTACTTTGATGTGGCCGCCTGTTTTTATATTTCATTGCTTAGCACTGAGAATTTCGTATCGGAAAGATATCTCATCACTAAGTATTTACCATTCCGTCCTGTGGCACCTGAGCATGCTTGCCGAGCATCAAAGAGGACAATTTTGGGTTCCGAGCCCTTATGATTTGACAGTATATGATAGGCCGTGGATACTCCAGCCAAGCCAGTGCCAATAATGGCAATATCACACTCTTCCGGCGTCGTTTCCGATGAACGGTACGAGGCTAGGGCATGTGGCTGGGTCAGCCAGAAAGAGGCCGTGGGGTTTGCGACGGGGAATCTCGAGTCCGTCATGTTTGGCTCTGTTGAAAAAAAAAAAAAAAAAAAAAGGTTGTCAAGGTTGGAATTTAGCGTTGTTTTTAAGCTTATGTTTTGAGTTTGCCCATTGGATTTTTTTACATGCTATCAAGTGGCAGGACTGATCTCTAATCTTTTAAATACTTTAAATTCTTGACCATGGTTATTATTCCTGTATAAGCGATAGCAGTATACTGCTTGCTCCCCATCTCCAGGAGCACTAAGAGGTGGCCACTGGCCACTTTGTGGGGCAACACAAGTTGAACGCGTAGATACCTTAGGCTCCAGCATTTCTCACCACCATACAAGTATAGTGTGCACGTAATCGCAGACTTTTTTGCAACGGGCTAATCCTCGAATGACAAGCATCAAACTCACAAAGAGAATTCTGCCATTACCGCTTCTGGAAGGAGAACCCCCGTTGCATTACGACGATGCTTCGCCATGAGCTTGCGATCATGGAATCATGGAGTCATACCGCGAAGTATTTTCACCTGCAGGAGACTTTGCACTGCCAATCATTCTGCCGCCTTGCCATGTGGTTTTGGGTGCTACCAATTCGATGGCTGCAAGCTGACTTGATTGGCACATTTCCAAATAGACCGACTCTTATCTGCTGACTGGAGCGCAAAGGCTCTTTTGGTATTCATCATAACAAGTCGCTCTATATTCTCGCTCGTGTGACTAATGCTGATAAGAAAGGTATAGTGACAAGAAAGAAGAAATGGAAAGAAAGGAAAAGAAGTCTACAGAACATCACCATTGCTCTCGTCCAACAACCAACTTTTGACAACTCTGCATGTCCGATTCAATCGCAGCCTTTGGCATTCCAAACAAGCGCTGACCTATCCCCATCCTTCAAAACAAATACCACACTGCAGCGCCGAGCTGACAAGGATTTGGCCGGGATAAAGACAAATGTCCAGCGTTTCGAGCAGGCACAAGATCATCCTGTTCTCAAGAACAACGTTTATACTGCATCATAATCCGTTGAATGTGGTAGAGACACGTCCCATGGACCCCATAGCTCTCTTCTTTCTCTCTCCTGCTGCCTCTCCCACGCTTCCTCATACTCTCTCATCACGGCGAGGCGCGACCAGGGACGTTGAGGAGATGCAACAGAATAGCAAGAAGGACTTGATCTGGCTGAAGAGGTACATGCCTGAGGTGCTGAAGAGGAACCTGCCTCAGGTGCCGAAGAGGGCCTTGGCTGAGACGCTGAAGAGGAACCTGCCTCAGGTGCCGAAGAGGGCCTTGGCTGGGGTGGCGAGGGAGGCAGACCTGGGTTAGGCATTGTCTCGGCAGGTGGTGGGACTGACGATAACACATCCAGTTCAATGGTATTTGAGGGCCGTTTCCAATAGTCCATACGCCAGCGACCCTTTGCCGACATGACTTGCCCAGGGAACTTCATGATGCGGTACCAGTAAAAGAACTGATCCTCCATCAAATCCCCAAGCATCCCACAGGGAAAGTAGACCAGTAAGCAGGGAAGAAAAAATATAACCCAGGGAAGAAAAAACATAACCCAGGCTAGCATTTGGAGTGGAAACGAGACAAAGGAGCTTATGAAAATGACGATCTTGGCAAAGCGGCGTCGTGATATCTTGTTTGCCTTGTACTTCAGGGTCCAAGTCGTCAATCGGGCGGACCACATGAGATCCAGGGAGGCGTATACCACGGTGCAGACTATCCAAGCTATTGTTGTGCCATCTAACCTGTTTTGTATCATGTCAGCCTGCTCTCAATCTGCTAGCATCATTCTGAAGAGAACTCGTGACATACCCATCAGAGGTGAAGGCATCGGTATCAGGCGCACCAGTGGGATCAGGGAAGACATCGAGGTCATAGATGCCGGTCAAATCCATGGCTTCTTCGTGACAAGCGAGAATGATTCAGCAACGTATTGATGAGTGTTGCCAATATTGCTAACGATTGGTGATCAAGGCAGTGTGCCTCTAAACGAAATAACGATGAGTTTGCTATCTGTGGAAGCCAAATTAAAACGAGGACCAATGGGAAGATGAATGATGAATGTTGATGAAAGAAGGGAAAACAACAGTTGTTGCTCGTCACTCATCAATCTAAAAAGATGCCCCTTGCCGGTCTTAAGGAAAGAAGAACAGAATACACTTGACCGGCCCAAGAAGGAAACGGCAAGAGCTAATTGAAGCATTTAAAAACCCATCACCGATGTTCAGATGGCTTCTTTCCACGTTGCTGAAGGTTTTCTGGGCTGGCCCTGCCAGTGTTCCTCCACGCGGTTGCGCGGCAAGAGTGACTACAATGTATAACGGACCAAGAAGCCTCAACCTCGACCGATTTCTTGATCAATCGTTGTTATGCAAACAGCAATCACTTACCTAGAGCTCATGGGAAGTCGTCTCAAGAATATCAAGCACTGACATGTCGCCTACTGGAAGCATGCGATGGAGAAGTTGTCTTTACCGAAAGGCTATATTTGGTCTCAACAGTTGGCATTCAATGATGACCATGGCGTTAAAGGATATACAATTGCATACACACACTCTTTGCTACAAGAGTTCCCGATCACATAAAAGGCAAGACATAATTGGCAGATCGCAAAAAGCGTTCATATTACAGATTGGTCTATCGACAATTTTGCTGTAGCCATCCTTCTAAACCCAGAGATCGAACCGAACGCTGTCCATTTCCGAGTTGCCCTTTCTATGCTTGGGGCGGACTATCATCTTGTGTTGTCTTCTTATCATCAACATACATGGCCGTCAAGATCCCATGGAGAATCTTTATCCCTTGACGGGCCTTTCAAATTTGCTCTCTTTCTTCAAATCCACATCATTCCATTTATGCCTGGAACTCAGTAATACCAGCCGCCTGAGCCTCCTCCCACTTGCCGGGGACGAGAGCCAGAGGAACAATACCAGACACGTGCATCTCAGGACCAAAGATCTTGGCGTTGAGACCAAGCTCCTGGGTGGCGGCCTTCATGTTCTTGAGACCCTCCTGGTAGTTGGGACCAGCACGACGGACCCAGATCTGGACGTTGTGCTCCTTGAGGGGCTTGGCGTACTCGCGGAGAGCCCGGATGACACCCTTGAATGTAGAGGCGACGTTGGTGAAGTTGGCGATACCACCACCAATGAACAGAACCTTGCCCTGGCTGTCGAGAGGAGCACGGAGCAGGAGATCCAGGACAGTACGGGCGTAGTGGTAGGTCTGAGACTCGGTGGGAGCTCCCGAGTACTCACCGTAGTTGGCGAGGTCGTCGGCGAAGCCAGCCGAGGCAATGGCATCAGCGTAGACGACGGAAGCACCACCACCAGCAACCAGGGTCCAGACACGGCCGCTGGCGTTCAGGACGGTGAGCTTGAGAGAGGCACCAGTCTTGGCATCCAGCTCGGCAATGTAGGCCTCCTCCTTGGACAACTCACGACCGAAGGGAGCAGGGAACTCCATCGGCGGGCCAGCGTCAACACTGACCTTGTCACCGGCGCTCGACTGAGCAGCAAGGCCCAGAGCAGCGGGCGATCGAGCAATGGCCCATTTCACACCACACTCGAAGTCAGCGGTCTGGTCAAGCTTGGCGGCAAGATCGAGGAAGTGAACGTCAGCAGAGGTAGCGTCGGCGTTGGGGATGACGACGAGAGGGTTGATCTCCAGGTATGTGAACTGGCAGTCGACGTAGACGGCGTACAACCGCGAGATGAAGTCGACGAGGACGTTGTGCACACCAGAGGGAACCTTCTTCAGCAGAGACTTGGCAATCTCCTCGTTTGAAGGGAATTCTGAGAGGTCGACAGGAATCAAGAGCTTCTCTGCCTTTGCGTCAACATCACCAACGTCGACACCACCCTCGTGGGTGAAGAGAATCCAGTCACCCTGTAATACAATCCATTAGTATTCTAATATTGAAAAAACAAGCGTATAGAGAATAAAAGTATAGCATAACGTGATTAGGGGTAAGTGTGATGCAAAACTATGCATGTCTTGATGCGGAAAGTGGGTGTGAAACGAGTGTGACTGCCAAGTGGATGCCGAACAAAGTGGTTTAGTTTCCGCTCGTCCGCAACGCTTCGGCTTCGGTTTAGCGATTCCGAGCGAGATAATAGACGCACGAAGCGCCCGGGTCATAAAAACGCCCGATCTCTACCGATTATTCAAATAGGGCAAGTCCCCAATTCGAATTTGTTCAAGATGCTCAAAAAGACTCTCATGTACGAAATGTTGCATCGAGTTTGTCTTTTGCACTCATGATCGGAGACTCATTTGAATCGACACCTCGCCTAGCGACTGGCAGCACGACGCGCCTGGCTGGCGCGACAGGGCGAATTTATGGAAAAAGGGTCTGAGACAACAACAGTCAATTGGGATCGGGTTTACTCACATCTCTCACGGAGTTGATGTTGATGTAGTACTCGGTACCCTCGGGGTGAGGGACGAAGGGCTCGACGAGGAATTGGCGGAGAACACCCTTGACGTGCTCAACCTGCTGCTCCTTACCGGCGCGCTCAGCAACCCAGGCCTTGGCCTCGGGCCAGGTCTTGTTCAGGGCCAGGAGACCACTCTTGCCACGACGCTTGATGAGCTGATCTGGCTTTGCGACGAACTTGGCGCCGGACTGGAGCAACCAGGGGTAGGTGACCTCAGCCTGGTCCAAGATGCCGTTCACATCGGCATCCTCAGGAAAGTAAAGAGATGCTAGTCTGGGAGGAGCATTGTGGGTGGTGGGCTTGGGAAGAGGAGTGGGCTTGATGACGGGTGCCCGAGTGAGGTGGTAGTTGAGGATGGCCTTGCCGTCGGCCTCGAGGATTGACTTGGCAGACATTTTGCTGTGTGAAAGAGGAAGCTATTCGCAGGTACGTGAACAGTTCAATTACTGTCTTTGTCTTTTTGTTGGGTCTGGAGAATACTTTTTTTGATTCTACGGAGCAAAGTCAGTGACTGGGTTGGCTGGATGGAAACACAGTTTTCTGGCCCAATTGCAAGCGCAGTGGCAGACAGAAGCGAAAAGGCAAATGCAAAGTCCCAGCTCTTGTTGCCTTTTGCGTTGCTGATGAACTTGCTGACTGCTGCTGGCTTGATGACACCAAGTGGCTCTCTTGCATGCACTCGCTTGGTTCAAAGTGACGACAAAAAGCTGGAGTGAAGCTCGAGTGAGGGGTGAAATGAATGGCGGCGGCTGCTTACCTCGCAGGACTGTCAGTAACAGTGGTGTGTTTTCTCTCTCACAATGACGAGGGAAAATCACAATGCGACGGTAATTGAAGGGCAGATGACTGCAGCAAAGGAAAAAAGGTCTCTATAGTGAAGAGAGAAACAAGAAACACTTTCTAAGTGGAAGGTGGTTTCTATGAGATTGTCTGGATTGAGAGCAACGAGAACGGGGATTGACCTTCAAAAATTTCCAGAGATCCCAAGCTCCGCCAGTTGCTCAGGGCCCGGGAAGGTCGCAGCAGCTGGGCGGGCGTGGTGAGTGGTGTGTGCTCCGTTTGGTTTCCCAATGGCCAACCAAGGTATCGACACACTGCCGAGTTGGCACAGAGGTACTTCCACGGGGGCAGACACACCCATCCCACCTGCAGCAGTACAGGGGACGCTAAGGGTCGTCGGCAGACCCCCGTACCTGTGCCTAGCTCGCTTTACCGCCCCAAAACTATTGGGGAAGATCCTGCTGAGCTCATGCCACACACCCGGTCCCAAAAGCCCGCCAGCACAGTCAGCAAGGATCGTAGGTACCGGTACCCCAACGTCAACACTTGGGGAATCGTCGAGAAGCTCGGGGCATAACTGGCACATTACTCTTGCATTACCGGACATACTATTACGGTACTATTCTTTTACTTTATTCCATCGGGACCCGAGAGTGCCATGGATGCGAAGTGCTGACAAGCTGTCTGCCACCCACGCCACGCACATTGATACACACGAGTATTGCGCCATTGTTGCGAGCGAGCAATGCAAAGCAGGCCACTAGTCGGGACTTGCTGCGCGTCGGGGGCTTCAATTGACTCTGCTTGGAAAGACAGAGTCGTGCGTCGGGTGCGTGCGTGTGTGTGTTGCTTGCATCTGGCTTGTTGATGTACCGCCAGCCGCGGAAAAACTATGATGATCATTCATACCAATCTCATAGTTGTTGGCGGCTGCCTGCCATGTTTTGCCATGTTGACCCGGCTCCGCGCGCGCGCTGCATGCCTGACGCACGTTGATAACGGGAAGCAGCTGTGCGGTCCGTTCAGCCTCCCCAACTCTGGTCTCAAGTGGCCTTGTGGAATACGGACACCACCGCATCCATCGATATGCACACAATACATGTGGGCGATCCCAACTTACAAGAGACCGTTCCCACGTATCAGTCGTGTCCACTTTTGTGTCTCTACTTTACTCTATCTATCAATCCCTCCTGCTCAATACAGAGCGGTTCATGGTAGAAATTGCAGCCAAGCGGCGTATGGGACATCCAATGTCTCAACCACAAGTACTGCCTGCCACCTTGGATATACTTCTGCTGGCTGCATGTGCGTGGGCAATAAGCTATCGCGCTGGCTGCAAAGAATGCACCACACCTACATTAGATAAAGCCGTGAATATGGTTATCCTCGACAGTTTCACGAGCAGCAGTATACAGATTCGCTTATCTCGGGGCACGGGCTGCCCAGGTATGAGATCCCAGGGCTCGAGTTATAGAGCTGCCGTATCTCGGCCTCCGAATTCCCGAAGTGGCAGTTCCCTCCACTATAGTATCATCCCGCTGTTCATTTGTTCTCATATTATTCAATCAATGGGATGAAGTCATTCTAATGACCCGCGCCTTGTTGCCTCCATGCTAGTTGCAACCCCCCGAGCCCGGGTCTCACGTGGCAGGCCATGTTGGGTCTACCTTATCGTTCCTTTCGCGTGCCATGAACCACATCGCCTATGCACTCCGGAACATACATCTGGAAGCTCGGCAACGTCTTTTGACTTCCCGGAAGGTGTTTCTAGGTGCGGTCCGGTGATGTCAGATGTTGATGATGGGACATGAGAGAAACCCTGCCGGACATGATGCCTGGGGAGGATCCGGCAACGGTGTTCACTTGTTCGTCGTGTCGCCTGGTCAACTTCCCGTTTCGGCCACTTGAGGACCGTAAACCGTTACAGCAAACATGACTAGCCGGATATCGGCCGGCCCACCTGCAACGGGCAGCAAGCAAACAATTTTTTCTTCTTGTTCTTCTTTCTTCTCTGCTCATCTTGTCGCTGGGCAGCGAAATTGAGGTTGCAGGTAGTCCCATTTTCTCAATTTGGACAAGCCATATTCGGGGGTTTCCATGGGGGTATGGCGGCGTACCTTCTCATTACAGTGAAGGATCAACTTACTGTGTCTATGGGCTGGCTGCACGCACAACCGTCTTGGCGTAACGGCGCAACATGGCAATGGTGCACCAAGATAGTTCTTGGATGCCCAACATATCTGCTTCATTACATTGATTAATCGTTTGATTCTGACTCATTTCCTTACTGTTCTTTGCACTCTAGAAGAATCCCGAGATCGAAATTAGACGATGCGAGGATCATTAGTGGTGGGCGGGTATGGCGTATGATTCGCCGAACCCGGCCCAAGGTTGGCATACTATTTTCGTGGTGGGAGCGCACTATGGGAGGGGATCCCATCGGGTTTTAGGTAAGTCGGAGTGAGAGGATGCGGCTTGTACCGGTACCTTGAGCCAGGAGTCTCCACGAAAAAGGCGGGAGTCGTGCGTAGGGCCGCTAAAACAGCAGAGCTAAGCTGGGGACACTAGAAGCTCAGCAATGCAGGAATGTGGCCAACAGGCGAAAATCGCAGCGACAAAAAAAAAAGTTCGCGGCCGGCGCTCAGTGATGAGCTGCGCCCCACGTCAGACAGCTGCGGTGATCAGCAGGGTCATTGGAGGGGTCCAAGTCCAATGCTCCATTGGGTGGCAGCTCACCAAATAGCAGCTCGTACCTGGCCCCCGGCTTCTCTAGCAAATCCTAGGTCAATGGCATCCAACAAGGCCGTCCCCCGAACCAACACCCCAAGTCAGGTTCCCTGCTGGCCGCTGTGCGAAACCCCTCGACCGCATATTCAACAGACCAGACAAGTTTACCCCAACTATTCCGACCGCTAATTAAAGCGAAGGTACCTACCGTCAGGTACATTGAATCCCTAGCCTTTTTTTTCCACAGCTCTACACCTACTCGGGCTATCGACTTTCTGCTCAGAATCAAGTGGAACACCGACCGGGAGGGAAATACAGAGAAAGAAAGTGGACGTCGTGTTAGAGGGAACGAAAATCGACAAAAAAGAAAGAGAGAAACATCAAGCAATTACAAGGTGAGTGAGCCTGTGTGTGTGCATGCGTGGGTTTGCATTTTCCAAATCCTTTCCCCGATCTCATCATTCTATTTACTCTTCCTTATTTTTTTTTTCTTTCTCTCACTCGCATCAACAACATACCTCAACTAAATCGGCCGACTAGTGGCAGCTTGTACCTACCTGGCGGGCCCGAACCAAATCGCATTGGACCTTGAACCCTCTCCTGTCCCGCCTACCGTTGATCTGTGCGTCTACCTGCTCAACTGCCCCCCCGTCGCTGCTCCTGCTGCTCCATCGCACCTGGGAAAAAAGCTCGACACTCCCAAAGATCCGATTTGATTCCACTCTTCTCTCTCCCCCCATTGAAACATTTCTTTCGTGATACATTCACTTGCATTCACTAATTCTTTCTCGAAGCTGTCCATTTTAGAACTGCTTCAACTTGATCAAGGCGAATAGCTCTGATTGAGTCTCACCATTCTGAAAGTGCAGTAAGCCTTCAGACAAAACAAGTTTAGGTATGTCAGCTGTGAAGACTTTCTTACTTTGCACTGCTTTGTGTTGCAACCCTCCCTTGGGAACGGGCGGGAACTGGGCGGGCAGCGTCAGCTTTACAATTGCCAGATCAAGAACCACCTCCGCTCCAAGGAAAAGACTGAGGAGGGCTTTCTCGACTTGTAATTGCAACTTGGAAAAAGAACGACAGTCGTCTGCTCTACACAGCTTAGTCTATGTTGGACGGAACTTCTGCTTCGTTTCTTGCACCTGCCAGTTTCACCGCACGAGATAGTCAGTCTTGACCAGCTTTTGGGCAATTGGTTTGCCAATAGGCCTGAGCTGACAGAGGAATACCTTTGGAGACTGCTTTGTTCTACTATTTCGTCACCTATCCAAACAAGAACTACACTAATACGACCCCTCTCGATACAGAATTTAGACCATAAAAACACCACACAGCCGCCATGTCTGCCACGACCAACGGTGTTAACGGCACCTCGGCCGGTGGCCTGTCGGCCAACGATAACATCACCCGCTTTGCCGCCCCCAGCCGGCCGCTGAGCCCTCTTCCCGAGCACGCCCTGTTCAACGAGAAGACGAGATGCTTGGTCTACGGTCTGCAGCCCCGTGCCGTTCAGGGTATGCTGGACTTTGACTTCATCTGCAAGCGAGCTACTCCCTCGGTTGCCGGTATCATCTACACATTCGGTGGCCAGTTCGTCAGCAAGATGTACTGGGGAACCAGCGAAACTCTCCTGCCCGTCTACCAACAGGTTGACGCTGCCATGAACAAGCACCCCGACGTCGATGTTGTCGTCAACTTTGCTTCCTCCCGAAGTGTCTACAGCTCCACCATGGAGCTGATGAACTACCCCCAGATCAAGACCATTGCCATCATTGCTGAGGGTGTGCCGGAGCGTGTAAGTAACAGAAACCAAGATTGCCATGGATTTTGGCCAAAACACTATGCTAACGAGACAAACAGCGTGCACGTGAGATTGCCCACGTTGCCCGCAAGAAGGGTGTGCAAATCATCGGACCTGCCACCGTCGGTGGTATCAAGCCCGGCAGCTTCAAGATTGGTAACACTGGTGGTATGATGGACAACATTGTTGCCTCCAAGCTCTACCGCAAGGGTTCCGTTGGCTACGTCTCCAAGTCTGGTGGTATGTCCAACGAGCTGAACAACATCATTGCCCAGAACACCGACGGTGTCTACGAGGGTATTGCCATTGGTGGTGACAGATACCCTGGAACCACCTTCATTGACCACATGCTCCGCTACCAGGCCGACCCTCAGTGCAAGATCCTTGTCTTGCTCGGTGAGGTTGGTGGTGTTGAGGAGTACAAGGTCATTGATGCCGTCAAGCAGGGCATCATCACCAAGCCCATTGTTGCCTGGGCCATTGGTACTTGCGCCAGCATGTTCAAGACCGAGGTCCAGTTCGGTCACGCTGGTTCGTTTGCCAACTCGCAGCTCGAGACCGCTGCCATGAAGAACAAGCAGATGAAGGAGGCTGGCATTCACGTGCCCGACACCTTCGAGGAGCTTCCCGCTGTTCTCAAGAGCGTCTACGAGAAGCTCGTTGCCGCCAAGACCATCGTTCCTCAGGCCGAGCCTGTCGTTCCCAAGATCCCCATTGACTACTCCTGGGCTCAGGAGCTTGGTCTCATCCGTAAGCCCGCTGCTTTCATCTCCACCATTTCCGACGACCGTGGTCAGGAGCTGCTGTACGCTGGCATGCCCATTTCGGATGTTTTCAAGGAGGATATCGGTATCGGTGGTGTCATGTCCCTTCTGTGGTTCCGTCGCCGCCTGCCCGACTACGCCTCCAAGTTCTTGGAGATGGTTCTCATGCTCACTGCCGACCACGGTCCCGCCGTGTCTGGTGCCATGAACACCATCATTACCACCCGTGCTGGCAAGGACCTGATCAGCTCTCTGGTCGCCGGTCTGCTCACCATCGGTTCCCGATTCGGTGGTGCCCTGGACGGTGCTGCCCAGGAGTTCTCCCAGGCTTCCGACAAGGGACTCAGCCCCCGTGACTTTGTCGACCTGATGCGCAAGCAGAACAAGCTCATCCCCGGTATTGGTCACCGTATCAAGTCCAGAAACAACCCCGATCTCCGTGTCGAGCTTGTCAAGGAGTACGTTCTGGCCAAGTTCCCCAGCCACAAGCTGCTCGACTACGCTCTGGCTGTCGAGACTGTGACCACTTCCAAGAAGGACAACCTGATTCTCAACGTCGACGGTTGTATCGCTGTGTGCTTCGTGGATCTGATGCGCAACTGCGGTGCCTTCAGCCCCGAGGAGGCTGAGGACTACATGAACATGGGTGTCCTTAACGGTCTGTTCGTTCTGGGTCGCAGCATTGGTCTGATTGCCCACTACCTCGACCAGAAGAGACTGCGCACTGGTCTCTACAGACATCCTTGGGATGATATCACTTACCTGCTCCCCACCCTCGCAGGCGCCGGTCCGGTCGGTGAGGGCAGAGTCGAGGTTTCGGTCAAATAAGCGGAATGACCGACACTTCTGTATTAGACGAATTGACATTTGCGCGATGGAAAATGAATGGGAGCTCTTCTTTACGTCAATGAAACGGAATGGATGGGGGCTACTACGTGATACTAGATTTCTACGCGATCATCACTGTATAAGATGATAAGATATAGCATTTCAATCGCTTGGGCTGGCAAGGGCCCGAAGTAATAGACGAGTAAAGTTGATAAGTCTGCATGTCTTGCATGTGTTGTCTCTTGTGAGATGCTTCTACTGTCAGAGCTTGATAATGTGTTGTTTGAAACATGGAAAGTAATCGTGTTGGAACAGATCAAAGGGTAAAAGGCAACGTAGCTGGGGGCGTGGGCGATGGGTGCGATTCGGGCGTCTGCGCAGAAATATGGGATCCACAGAGGCCGCTTATCGATAACGAACCGATCCGAGCCAAAAGTTCGCGACCTCCGTTGAACCTCATGGACGTGAGCCAATTGCCAGTTTGAGAAGGATTGCCGCTTATTCAAGTCAGAAAGTCTGACGGAAGTTGTTGCTATCATAACCTTGAGTTTTCAGTAAGTGTTTACATACCCCAATTTCTTGCTCCATCCCCCGGATCTGGCCGGAGGAGTGGATATTTGCATTGTCCCGGCAGTCTATAGAGAGGATTGGATGCAGGCAAGACGCAAGGCGCAAGCATAATACAGTTGGGCCGGAATTGATTTTCATGGAATGTGCTGGTCCGATGGGCTAATACAAACAGGTCTTGAGAACGAGGTGGTTTTGGGGATCAATTGCCGAGGGTAAACCGCGCAGCCCCCTTCGGACGACTTGACGTTTATCGAGCCATACGCGATAACGACCAACCACAAGCAACCTCACAAGCACAGCGGAGAGACAGAGGACAAGATATCGAGGGATAAAAAAGATGGCCTTTTTCCGCGTTACCCTCCACCGCTCCGCCATCGGTCTACCCGAGCGCACGCGCGGCGTGCTGGCCGCCCTGGGCCTGCGCAAGCGCACCCAGACCGTCTACCACCCCGTCTCGCCCCAGTTTGCCGGTATGATTTACAAGGTCAAGGAGCTGGTCAAGGTGCAAGAGGTCGACCGCGCCCTGACGCCCAAGGAGATGCGCGAGGAGAGGAGGCCCGAGAGGGGGTTTTACCTCGAGACGCCGCGGGTGTAGAGAAGAATTCTTGCCGGATGGATGATGATGCTTGAGGCCGAGATGGGATGCCAAGTCGAGGGATACAGGCAAGGACGAGTGGCAGTTTCTAAAGATTTTCAGCGGCTTGGGAGAATTCCTGAGAGGATCTGGGTAAAGATGAAAACTCCATCAGACGTGGATGACGAGGGTAATAAGAGGCACCTCTATACTCCTTGGGCATCTGCCATGAGGCAGGCAATCTCGAATGATTGGAACAGGTCTGCGGTACTCGGTTCTGTCCTGGACGATACCGATTGTATTCAGATGTCCGCCAAGTGCGTGTCATTATCGGGAGTCGTTGGCGAGGTGGCTGGCCGACATGGTTTGGCCTAGCTGCATGTACTACACCTTGTACACAAGAAGAAATGAGGCTTAATTCACCTGTATACTATACTATTCCCAGAACAATTATGCTCGCTCCAGATGACTTGGCATTACGTGTCTTGTAGTCGACGTTGTCTTTCGCCGTACGAGAGAGAGTCTCTTGAATTTGATAATCACGTTGCAGTCATGGGACAGTATCTTTTACCTCTTGAGCACAAGCAAGCAACATTGATGAGAAATGACTTGCATAGTGCAGAACAAAACTCGACCATGGCTTACTGAACTAGAATTCACCACACAAGAAGCACAACCGTACATTATGATTGCCTTGAATTATGTCTATATAGACTTGGGACAAATGCAGCCTCTAGACTTGGTGCAAAACCTAGTAGTGGTTTCCAATCGAGGAAATCATGGTTTTCCTATCCATGTTCTGCTTTCCAGCATCCCTCCATTGTATGAATTGCAATCGGATCCATATGTGCCAACGATCAAATGCGTGGCTTCCTGGCGCGCTCTCAACATAGTGACAATCTTCTATGTCAAGTATTGAAACTTTTTTTTCCGGCTTTTCCATGTTTTTTTTTTCTTTCCTGGTTAGGGGGGAGGGAGTTTGCCGAATCATCTAGACAACCATTCAGATCATAGCCTCGTCATGTAGTATTAGAACTTCTAGTTCTTTGCCTTTTCAGAATACTCTGCGCTGGGAACCTCATATTCGTTCAAGAAGTAGTCTTGTGCATTGCGTGTGAGCCACTGAGTGAACTTGGTCAGCTCCTCGCGAAGTCGATTCACAGACTGTTGATCCATGTTGGTTTGGGCGACAAGCTCGGGCAGTGAAGCTACTAATTGTCAGCATCGGACACTGTCAGCAGTAGTGTTATACTCACTAAACAAACGCATCAGGTGCTCGGAACCATAGGTATCGCTGGGAGCCTTGCCGTACAGCTCAGAACCTTCGGTGCTCCACTTCTCGCGGACCTCAGCATACTGAGCGCGCTCGAATCTAGCATTGGGTTAGTGTGAGGCTCTCGAGCGCACCTGGGATGACGAGGACTGACCTGTAAAGCAAGATGCGACCCAAGCACTTGTCGAAATACTCCTTCAGTCCGGCAATGGTCTCCTCGAGGATGTCGATAGAAGAAGAACCCTCTTGGCGCTGGGCCTTCTCGTACTCGAGGTAGTTGTCAAGGACAACCGTGACGGGCTTGGGGTGAGGAAGCGGAACTAGCTGGCAGTTCTTGGTCACAGCCTCCCAGTCATCGACAAGGAGACCCTTGATAACGTCAGGCAGTACAATCTTGATAGACGGGCGCTGGTGGAAAGCATCTTCCTGCAAAAAGTTATTCATTTTAGTAAGTGGATCAACAGCTGTAATCATTCCAAAAGTCAGATAAGGAGTGCTGCCGAATAGAAGGCTCATATCACGGCGCGGGGGACCTGGAACGATCATCAACGTCTGGCGAGAACCCTAAGCCTGGTCCAAAGTGTCGAGACGTGCAGTGGGTCGAGGACTGAAGGCGTTGTCTGCAGGAGCAGGGACGCCCTTGGGACTCTGCTGCTGGCGTCGAAGTCGCATTCCAGGAATCACCTGTGCAATTGCAGCGCCATCGTCGGCAGCGTCGTCCATCGAAGAGGTGGCGGGGTTCGAGAGGATCGAATGTCCGTTCTTGGTGATGTCCTTCTTCATGGCGGCACCTGTAGCGGACAATAGCTTTCCCATCTTCTTCTTGGATTGATGAGGCTTGTCCGAAGGAACACCAGCAGTGGGCAAGTTGATATGAGCAGGCATGTCTCTGAATTGTCTGAAGAAGCCGACGGTGCAGACACCCCTCTCCTGAGCTTCAAGAACCTTGGGGTGGATGGGTTTGGTCCTGGCGAACCGATTGTAGGGCGGATCTTCGGGCGCAAGTAACAAGGTGCCAGAGCTACTGATGTAGTGGTTTGTCGAATCTGCAGGGGGAAGCTGTCTGAGGTTGTCAAACGGTTCCCAAGCCTTTGCATACTTGGCCTCCTTAAGAATGAAGGCTTGTCGAAACTCCTCGTGGGGATCCAGTGGGGCTTGGAGCTGCTTCTTCTTCTTGGATGGGGATGGGGCAGAGTCATGGGGATCCAGTGTAGCTTCAGTTTTTCTCTTCTTTATCAGAGCAGTAGGGCCACTCGATTCGGCAGCTGGCTGGGGTTTGGACGATTTTGCGGACGACGATGACTTGGTAGCTGGCTGAGGTTTGGACGATCTTGCGGAGGATGACTTGGCGGACGATGATGATTTGCTGGACGACGATGACTTGCTGGACGACGACTTTGTACCTGACGGTTTTGTGGCCGGCTCAGCTTGCTTGGTCGACTTCTTTGCCTTTGCTGGAGCGGCCTTTTTGGCTACTTTGGAATTCTTGTTCGCCTTTTGGCTGGCCTTGGCGGCACGAGTTGCAGGTGTCTTGGTTGCAGACCCATTTCGATCATCATTTACGCCGTCAACAGATGCGTCGAGGAGTGAAAGCTTAAGGGCGCGCTGTGTAGCGGCCTCCAAGCCAATCTCCTCCTCAACTGTTGGAGGCAAGGCGCTGCGTCTGGTTCGGCGTTTGCCAAACGACAACACGAGCTCACTTTCTGAGTCTTCATCTTGATCTTGAATCACCTGCGTGTCGGCTTTTGCAGTCTGGCGAGTGTTTCTGCGGGTCGAGGCAGTCGCCGACACATCGACCTGGTGCCCGCTGTTGTTGGATGGCGCACCATCCTCAGCGACCGGTGACGACGGCGCATAATCAGAAGCTTCCGGCATTGTGTACCTTGGGGCGTCGCTAATGACGGGTCCAAACAATGATGTGTCAAAACGGCGATGTGGTCAAACGATGAGTGGTATGAGGGAAGGGGTGGATGTGAAGTTGCGTCAGAGCTGACTTTCGCCGATGGCCAAGAGAGTCAATGAAAGAATGGTGGTGCACTCCAGGAAGGCATTCCCAGGTGATTGTAATAGAGCTTGGTCTGCAGTTTTGGAGGGGCTGAAAAAACGCCAGAGGCACCGCGCGTTGACGAGACGACGCGTTGAAGAGAACGGACGCGCAGCCAGCAAACGGCAGCTTCAATTCCAATGAGGGGTCAAGCTACAGTTCACGGCCACCGTTAGTTGAACAGCCATGTTGTGGCCCTCCTCAGTCTCTTTGGTCACTTCGGCCAGTGATTCCAGATGAGCGTAGCACAGCTTGATGATCTTCTCCAGCTCGCACCGGCCGGGAAGCACACTCATGAAATGTAGGCTTGTGCAGAAGCATTAAAGCCTCTGTGCAGCATAGTGCACAGCTATCCTGGATTCGACGCTTTCTCGGTTCGCAGAAACGTTCCATGAACTCGGCCAGATATCTCCTCCAACCTAGATCGAGGATGCTGAGGTGCTTGACAGCCACAGGACAATAGATGAAAGTAGTCCTTGAGTACTGCTGCCAGCTGTGTAAAGCAGCAGTGTTTTGTGCACAATAGATCATGTCTTAATATCCCACAGCAATGTGCCGTGATTCGAAAGCCGCCTTACCTTTGGTATATAGCACTCCTATCTATCTTTGGAACAAAGGGGGAAAGAAAGTTGACTCACACTCTCAAGCTCATAATCACGGCCCCGTCTGGGTCCTCTTCCGGCATAGCTGTTATTGGCAGCACGCTCTTCACTACCTCGAGCGGAGCTCATCTCACTGTCGATGCCTCCAACGGCTTTACCGATGGCCTTCTTGGCACTTTTGGAGCCACCGGCGGTGCGGGCTTTTGCGGCCTGGGAAAGCTGGGTAGCCAGTGCCTTGTTGTCATCGGTAAACTTTCGAATGCGGTCCTGACTGACCCAGTCATCCCATGACGACTTCCAGCCCTTGTAATGGACCTTGTACTGAGCATCATCGGCCTTGATAGTGGAAAAGACAGTGTTGGTCGGGTCAGAGGCGCTGCGGACCTCGGTGATCTTGGCCTCGTACATCAAATCTCCATGGAAGCAAAGGACCTTCTCGTCCTTGGAGAACGGAGGGCCAGGTGCTGGCTTTGAAGGTGCCATTTTGATTGATGATCAGACGCGTGATGATGGTTTGCGCAGAGAGATTGCCTTTGGCAGAAAAAGGTTTGAGTGAAGGAGAAAAAGTCCAGGTTACAAATGGCCCTAGTTGACTTAATCCCCTGGTTTGCAGACACAGAACAAGCTGGCCCTTTCCCTGTTTTCAAGAGGCAACAAGTCAAATGTGGGCTGCCCGCCCAGACTTTGGATGAGATGAGGACGAACGCTGGACCCCAAGTGAGATTTGCTGGGCACTTGTTAGAGTCGGAAAGTTGGATGATACGTAGAAGGCAAAGCAGGGAGAAATTGAGAAGTCTGATATCACATTGTTCTACATACCTTGTGACTTGCTAGGTCCTGGTGTCTGGGAGATTTATAAAACTTTTTGTTCCACAGGAAGCACACCGTTTATTTCAAAACACGGTTGTTGAATGCTCCTTCTATTCATTATCAAAAAGGCTGAGCATTCAGAGTCCACGGCCACATGCAGCACTGAGAGGCGCTCGGACGCGTCCTTCGCCTTCTCGCCAGTCAGTAACGGCGGGCGCTAAGGGGTTCGCGTATCCTGGTAGACAAAGTAAATTGATTGCTCATTGGACACCTCCTGCCTCATTATTACCACGCCCTCCTCTGCTTTGAATTTTGCTGTACGAATACATACAGCAAGTAAACAATTGATATAGAATTGTCTGTTATTTCTCGTGGAACGCTGTGTTATGATTCATTAGATACACTCTGTCGAGATACAAACCGGGAAAGTCGAGTGCTCCAAACCCAGACCACCGCGATGGCGCCAAGCGAGGCCACGATACTCGAGAACTACCTGCTTCTGCCCGCGCGCCTGCCTGCCGTGGTCTCTCTGCAACAGTTCAAATCTTATTTTCCCAAGTCGCAACAGTCCTCTCCGCAAATCCGCACCCTCTATCGCGATCTACAGCAGCAGCGCAACGCCGTGGTGGATACGGTCGCAGCCAACATCGACACCGAGGTCCAGCGGGGCAAGGCATTGCGCCGCGCCGTAATCAAGGCAAGACGCGAGGCAGCTCAGGAAGATGACATTGATGACGAGATTGAGATTGAGAGAAATGTGAGTAAACCTTATTGATCGCCGGTAGGAGGCTCAAGTTTGCTGTTGACTGCCCTCGCTTGTTGAACCACATTGCTGATCATCTGAGCCTGCAACAGCTCTTCGGACCTACGTCCAACACGATCCGGCCCAAGAAGCATACTCTTCAAAGCATCCTACCAGAGATGGATAGTGCCGCCAGCGATTTAGAACAAGAGATCCGAAAACTTGAAGAGGAGGAAGCAGCACTGCTGGAATCTGTCCAGAAGGCAGTTGGCGACATGAGCGATCTACGATACGGCCGGCTCGCGAATACAAAGCTCAAAAACGAAGTCATCAATGGCTTGGAAGATTTTCAAGAGATTTGCAAGCAGAAGAGTTAGGCGACAAGAGCTGTGGTGGTTTGATTTCCACAGATCGCATTCATTACAACTAAGTGGCGATGATTTACATCATATAAAGCTGCTTGCCTGTAGCAGCGCTTTTGGGCATCCGGTCAGTATGTACTGGCCGAGCCAATATGTTTACTGGACCTCTACTCCCTCCCAGCATATCAGGATTTTGCGCCAACAATCAATTGCCGCTATAGGTGCTTATCGACGCGGAGCAGCTTGGCCGGTAGCCGCAGGTCGGGGACCACCAGCCATCTGGTTGTTCATGCGGTTCGACCTAGGACATATTAGCATTGCGAACCAAGAAGCCCTGCCTGAACAGGCAGACTTACATCATAGTTCGGCTGAGCATGGACACGCAGACCATGAAGAGCCAGCTGGGGATCAAGTTGAAGAACCAGAGAACATAGCCAACAATAGTGGACAGTCCGTTCTGGGCGAACCAGCCATTGAATGGGTGGAAGATACCGTCGTGCAGCTTGGCCTGCTCCTTGTAGCCATCCTGCTGCAGCTTGACAAAGTCGTCGCTGGTGACGGTGGTCATGTTGAGGCGCTTGGCCCAGAGGTTGATGGAAGCTGGAGGAGGCAGCATCTCAAAGATCCATAGAGCACCGGCGGGCGCAGACCAGGAGTTGCACAGAACAGGCTCATCCTCGCAGTTGAGCAGTGCAGTGTGAGGAGCGCCGGGGGTGACGGCGAACTTGGCCGCAGTCTGGTTGAAGGCCTCCTCGATGCGATCGCAGTGACCTGTACTAGTTAGCATTGCTATTTGCACGTATATTTTCACGATCCATAGACGTGTACAATGCTTGTCACGTACCGAAGCAAGTCTTGTTTCTACCAGTGATCAACACCCAAGTCTCCTCGGGTGTGGTGCTCTGGGGCGACACATGGCCGTACAGAACGTCCCTCCAGTTCTCCAGGGTAATAACATCCATCTTCAGCTCGCCAATCTTGGCCTCTGCGGCCCCGATGGGATCCGACTTGCTCGGGTTCGGAACATAGGACCAGAACTTATCCAGGTAGTTTTGGAATTGGGCCTGGTATTGCGGAACTTCTTGCGCGCTGGCCAGGAGGGGCAAAGCGGCAGCGATGGCGGTAGAGAAGCGCATCTTGACCAATATACGCGCAGGACAGCGGGATGTTGGATGTAATATGTACAAGATACGGGACGACGGGTCGGCTGTGGGAAAGGGAGCTATGACAGCTGGACCTAGAGAGCACTTGATTTTTATGATGTAAGCCGGAGGGGTTCTAGTAAGTGAGACAATGTGCGCAACCTAGGTGTTGCAATGGAAGGTTCCTTACCTGGGTCAAGTTATAGCAGAAAAAAAGACAAGCCGTGTGTTCAATGAACCGGTGGAACAGGGGACTTGGACTGGCGAGACCGTGGTTGAAAAGGACAGAGAGGACCCTGGATTGATTCGAATCCGTGAGATTCCACTCGGTGCGACGAGTCCAGTAGGTACGCGCCTCCAACGCTAAGAAAGCAGACGGACAGCGAGTTCCATCCTACCTGGTCGATGGCATGGATGCCAAGCAATGGGGAAAGCTCCAGTAGACTGGTTGGCTGAGAAGCTACATGGGCAGCACCTAGGCGTGTTGGGTAAGGTCTTGTAATGCTCGGCAGGGAACGAGATTTGTTGGAACTGGCAACGCTATGAAAGATGGCACGGCAGCTCAACAGCTCTTGATAGGTAATACTGCTACAATGATTGATGATATACTCGTGCTTCGTCTGTGCAAAACCATTGCCTGATCCGTTCACTCCATTGGCTAGGTACAATATTTCTTTTTACTGAAAGCTGCTGCCGTTGGTCATGGACAGGAGCTTGCAGATCCACTTTTTCCTCAAGCACAGAGCCCCAACCATCAATTGTCGTTCCCAAGTTTCTCATCCCATGCTCCGTATTTATTGATTGTACCAATTGCTTATCGTTATCAATAACAACGGCCGTTGTATGCGGTTCGCGCCGCAGCAAGACAAGACAATAAGAACGGCATTCGCGATAATTTTAATGGTGTAGCACTTTTGCTCTCATGTATTTCTAATGGTATGTTTATCTCAATCCTGCGTCTTCATCCAATATTAACTCGCATTTTTGCAGGCAAAAGAGACGGCGAACCAAAAGCGCAAGCGCGGCCGAACTGCGAACGCGTCTCGAGATGATGTCAACGCGTCGCAAACCCAACTGACGCTCACGACAAATGGCGCCATATCTCGGCCACAAAATAACGATGCCGATGACAATGATGTCGGCGAGGAATCGCGGCCCAAGAAACGCGGTAGAAAGGCCAAGGAACCATCTGCAGCGCAGGCAGAACCAGAGGAGCCTGCTCTAGAGGTAGAACCGCCGCCCAAGAAGAAGCGCGGACGTCCCTCATTGCAGAAAGCGCAAGAGATGGAACGAGAGGAGATCGAGGAACCTCTACCCGAGGAGCCGAAGCCGAAAAGGCGCGGCAGACCTGCTGCGCCTACAAGAGATACTCAGAATGCAGACGAGGAGGATTTGAGTGGAGTCGCACAAAATAAACCTCCAAAGAAACGTGGCAGGCCTTTTCTGAATCGGTCCCAAGAGAGCTCCCAGGTCGAGAACTCGCCCGACACATCACAGGTCAAAAAGCGCGGGCGGCCTCGCCAGCCTGAACAAAAAGACAATACAGAGGTCACAGCTGATGAAGCCGATAATGAAGGCCACAGCAACTCGAGCTTATTGAGGCGTAGTGGCCGGGACAAAAGGAAAGCCAACAGACGACAGCCCACCCCCGAGGCACAGTCGGAACCTGACGAAGTGGAAGAGGAACCCGATGGGGCAAGCAGCCCACGGAAGGGGGCCAATGGCACACGGTCAGGTCGTCCTGTGAAGAGGGGTGGCCAAGGTGATGAAGATAAATCTCCAGAAGAGGTGTCTCAGCCCAAGAAGGCCAAGAAAAGGGGCCGACCTTCGCTCCAAGCCAAAGCCGATGACGCCCCTTCAGCCACAGAAGCAGAAAAATCAGCGCCCAGTAAGCGTGGACGCAGATCTAATGACAAAGGAGCTCCGGATGTAGCACCCAACAAACAAGAAAAGAAGAGACGTGGTCGGCCTTCTCTCAATCAGGATAAACAAGATGACCAAGATGAGCCTGTGGCAAACCAAAAGTCCCGGCGTGGGCGGAAGAATCGACAGGCAGAGCCGGAAGAACAAGACGATGCAGAGGCAGAGTCTGCTCAAGAAGATGAGTCCTCGACGAAGTCCGGGAAGACAGCCATCAAACGAGGGCGGAAACGTCGCACTGAACAGGAGGATACCAGATCACAGTCATCTTCGCCTGAACCTGCCCCGTATCGCCATTTGGCAATGCGCACACGGAAAATTACGCGACAAGTCATACAAGAAAAGTGGTCACCCTTGGATCCGACTTCTGTAGAAGGAGTATCCGAGCTCTTGCAAATGTCAACTCTCCCGGTTCTTTTACGACTAAATAACTTGACAAAGCACTCTCAAGCTACAGCAGCCTTGAATGCAATCACCAACAAGCTGCGATCAAAACTTACTCGTGGGCTGCCCTTCCCGCCAGCCACCACATCGAACAAGAGGGAAGATGAGCTCAGCTACGAGACCACGCTTGATGGCATACAAAACACGGAGGCTCAGCTGGATCCTCTAATACACAGCGTCGCATTGTTGCGCAAAGAAAAAGAGCGTGCAGAGAAGGAGCTCGATCAAGAGTATAAACTCCTCAATTCAATCACTGCAAATGCAAGGTCCGAGATCAGAGGCCGAAGAGAGCAACTGAGAAAGATACATCCCCTGGTCCCAGAACTCAAGCACGACACAGAAGGCTTGGACGTTGGAAGGCGAGACGAATTTTGTCCGATTGAAGAAGCCACAGGCAAGACCTTTGTTGGTCTTGAAGATGAGGAACTTTTAGGACTTACTGGGCAGCTTGGAAATCACATGGAAAGCATGCGCGGAAATCTGCAGCAGATTGAGGGCGTAGCACCAGCCATTGCGCAAGGTCGTGCTGCTCTAAAGTTGGCACTCATGCCACATCTAGATCAGGACACTTTCGAGCAGGTCGTGCTTGGATAAAGATTTTGCATGCGACTAAACCTTCAATTGGCTACATTATGAGTTACGATTCAACGAGGAAATGCACAAGAATTGTCGAAGTTCAAGCAGATATATACCCGTGCGCACAGTCTTCACATCCTGCAGTCCTAACATAAGATCCGTATGCGCCTATCTCCAGAAACCCCAGTCATGAACTCGCTAGAATGACGCCCCATGACGGTGATTGATGGACTGCCAAACTCGGTGATGATCTTGCGTCTCTTGGTCGTGACGCCGTCGTTGTCATTACTAGCAAGCTCGTCCCGCCGTCGCTCCATCAGCGAGTCTCCTTCGAGTCCCAAGAAGTGGCGATGTTTCTCCTCGACCAAGGGATTCATGTGATACGTGATGACTGGCGTGTCTTCGTCGCCTTCACCCGAGACTTCCCCATGCTCATCTCGCGCCGCACCCGCCGCGTTCCTGACCACTTGTGCCTTTAAGCTGTCCCTCTCGCGCCTGAGGCGCTGCAGCGCCGCCTCGACGTCTTCGCGCACCACGCTGGCCTTGCGGATCTGCTCCTCGGCGGACCGGCGGGCGCCCACGGCGTCCTTGAGCTTGGCCTCGGTGGCGAGGCGGTCCATGGCCACCTGCTTCAGCTCGGCCTCGACCGACTCCTTTTCCTCCATGGCCGCCTTGATCTGCGCGTCGATATTGTCTTCAATACTGGGCAGGACGCCGCCGTCTTGCTGGTCATTGGACTGGAAAAGGGCCCTATTTGCGTGGTCGCGCTCCTCCTCGAGTAACTGGAGTTGCGTCTTGAGCAGGTCGCGAGATTCGAGCGCCTCCCGGAGTTGGGCCTTGAGGGTTGCTCTCGCTTCAATGGCTTCCTTCATCTGGGTCTCGCTCGCGTCTCTGTTCTCGAGTGCCTCGCGAAGTTGACTCGACACGTCTTGAAACTTTTTGAGCTCCACGGTGTCGGAAGGCATGTCCGAGACGTTCTGCAAACGAGAAATCATGACATCCCGGGATTGTAGCGCTTCTTCGAATTGCTGGACTTGGGCCCGTAGTTCATCACGAGACACGAGTGCTTGATCCAGCTCTGCCTTCATGACTGACTTTGCTTCAATGGCATTCTTTTCCCGTGTTTCGGCAGCCGCTTTCTCCTGCAGCATGGCATCTACTCGTGACTCGGCGGCCTCTTTGGCATCAATGGCCTCTTTGACTTGCGCGAAGCTGGCGTCTCTGGCTTCGAGTAGTTCTCTCAAGGTGGCTTCACAATCCTTTTTGTCCTTGATAGCTTCCTGAAGCTCTGCCTCTAATGCAGCTTTGACTTTGTTCAATTCGCGAGCTTTGGCCTCTGCCTTGGCGACTGCATCTTGTTCGTGTCCAGTATCTTTCAGCGTTGCCTCAGTGGCGCGTGCATCTCGTTCCTCGCGCATATCCGCCATCAGTTTCTTGACCTCCTTGTCTTGCTTTTCTAGAACAGCTCTGGCTTCCGTGAGCTGATGCTCCATTTGTTTGCGATCCTCTCGTGCATTTTCCAACTTTGTCTTCAAGGTCGCAATCGCGTCGTCTCGCGTGGTTCCGAGCCCCGTCGGCGACAGGAGTTCCTTCAGCTCGAGCTCCAGCGCCTTGCGAAGCTGTGGCTCATCACACTGCCTCATCTCCTCTTCGATTGCTCTCTTGATCTCGCCGCGAATCGCCTTTCTCATGTCTGCCCCGATTGTCCCTGCCGCGTCGTCATCGCTCAAAATGTCGAGCCACCCATCTGGGAGCGCGACCGAGATCTTGGCTTTTTCTGATGTCGTATTAGACTTGGGCTTTTCTTTTCGCTTTTCTGGCTTGGCGCTACTTGTATTGACAACTGGATTGCGCAGTACCGCCAGTGATCTCGAGTCCGTGGTTCCATCGTACAATCCCTTTGCGACTGCCTCTCCTCCGACCCGCGCGATCCAGGCGTCCCAGCTCATAAAGTCGGAGCCGCCGCCACTCCTACTAGTAGAACTAGGAGTCTCATAGAACTTTGCCAGCATCTGCGAGGCTGTGGCTCGGCAATCGGCTTCCCAAATCACGACCTCCTTCATCCCGCGTAGATCGAGCGTCCCACGAGCCGGCTTGGCCGTCGCAATCGCATAGAGACGACTCCACGCCTCGTGATACGTACGATTCGATCCCGGACGGTACTGATCCGCAAGTTCCGCCAGCGTGGCAAAGAGCGACCACATGTCCGAGGCATGGATCCGCGTCTCGCGGGCCTGCGCCTCGGGTGCCCGGTACGGATCCATCCGGAGGCTTAAGGCCGGGTGCTCGGCGTCGATGCGCAGACCAAAATTGGCCAGCTTCAACGTGAGATTACCGTTGCGGTCCTCGGAGTAGAAAATATTGCCGGGGCGCACGTCGCGATGTACGATGCCGTTGGCCGCCAGGTGCTGTAGCGCTTTGAGCATGCACCGGCATGTTGCGTCGACGACCTCGCTTAGGGGAAAGAGGCCGGACGCCTTGACGCGGTAGATATTGCCGGGAAGAGACGGTCGCACGATTTCAATGTGAGTTCCGCTGTCGGATTCTCGAGCGCCGGAATAGCCAAAGGTGTAGGGCTGGTTATGTGTAAGATAGTCTGCTTGCACTGAGACGAGGAGGAATTGACTGGGTACCTACGAAGCAGTTCATTGCCTTGGAACTCTTCCGTATATATTCCATCTCACTCCTCCATCTTGCTTCCTCCTGCTGACTGAAGGTGATGGCTATGCGCTTGACAACGACTACTTCTTTCGTGTCTGGTGATTTCTCCTGTCGATGTTTACTTCGCCCACGAGGAGGAGACCGCGAGGCCTTTCGCCGCCGGTTTTCGAATGCTGAAGCGAGTCTCATCTTGTTGTTCCGACAGGCACCTGGCAGAGAAGTCTACCAAGACGTGAAGGAGAAAGAGTCGTAAGCAAGACATGATGGACATTGAGCCTGCAGCTCCGATTTCTTTGTTTCACTTAGATGTTAAGATGTTGCCGGTTACGCATACTGAATTGAGGAGTCCTTGACTTTTAACAAAGACATTTCCTAACACAAAGGAATGAATCTGCATTCAAGCCATAAATGCATCCCAACAAGGTGGCTCGAAAGAGTCGTGTCCTCTCGGGCTCTAGCATCAACTTGATGTTCCATAATACGCTCGTCGATACAACTCGAGAATTCTACGCCATCACTCAGATTCTCATAATCCGTATTACGTTATAACAGCCGTCGGACTGTGTGTCATCTTGTGTTGACAGTGAGATCTCCTATGACTAACATATATCACTCTTCCCACCGAATAAGGCAGGGCTCGCTTAGATAATTCAAATACTAGTCCAGATATGTATTTAAGATCGTATCCATAGAAACATTTCCAGGGACTTTATAGCACAGGTGTGTCCTACTGGAGCGGTGTCGCCCGCAAAATATGCAAAGCTAGCCATCAATTACAGGGGTTTGCGTGATGTCGCCATCGCCGTGGTCTATCACCAATTCTTGGCGCATCGGTGGGGATTGAGAGAAAAATGCAGTCCACGAGAGTAAATAGGTCGGGATGTCCTGGTGATATATTAAATGCAGCTCTGCCTGTCTTATGCATGTATGGTTCTGTTGATCTCTACCAATAAAGTAGATTAACATTCCGGTCGGTCCAAAGCGATCAACATGTCCAAAAGCGTCCCGGCCACCACCGTCTCGGCACCCGAGCCCCGTCGCCGGACATGGTACCACACGACGCTATTCAACGCCTTTGTAATAGGCGGCGTCGGGTTCTTAGCACCGGGTCTGTGGAATGCCATGAACTCTCTAGGCGCCGGCGGCGCACAGGAGCCGTACCTGGTCAACGCGGCCAATGCTCTCGTGTTTGCCATCATGGGCTTCCTCTGCCTATTTGGCGCCCCCATTGCCAACCGCATCGGCCTCCATTGGACGCTGTTCCTAGGTGCAATCGGCTATCCCATCTACTCGGCGGGCCTGTACTGCAATAACCGGTACGGCAATGTTTGGCTCGTCCTCGTGGGGGCCGTCACCTGCGGATTCAGCGCCGGTTTGTTCTGGGCCAGTGAAGGTGCCGTGGCTGTAAGTACTAATATTCTGTCGTGTGCTTGCTTTCAGCACGTTGTTCTCGAAGAGTCTGGGTCCCAGATTTTAATTCCCGGTCCCATATTTTGTCCCGGGAAATGCATACCTACCTTACCCTTTTAACTCAAACTCGAGCACTTGTGGAAATTCTTACACGATCGAGGAGGATAAGAAGCTAATACATGTCGACTCATCAGTTGGGGTACCCAGAGCCGGGCAAGCGTGGCCGATATATGAACATCTGGCTGCTTTTCCGCACCGGTGGCCCCCTGCTTGGTGGCGCCATTGTTCTCGGGCTCAACCATTCTGCAGGCCAAAAAGCCAAGGGGAAAGTCGGGTCCGAGACGTACCTCGTCTTTGTGGCGCTGCAGTGCATCGCCGCGCCGCTGGCCCTGGCTCTCTCGCCCCCCGACAAGGTCGAGAGGGCCGACGGCAGCCGCGTCGTCATCAAGGCGGAAAAGTCATTCAGGGCCGAGTTCCAGGCCCTGTGGCAGACGAGCAAGCGCAAGGATATCCTCTTGCTTTTGCCCATCTTTTGGGCGGCGTATTTTAACCAGTACAATGGCAACTTTCAGACTTGTAAGTCACAAAATCAGAGCACAAAGTCAGAATCTCAAGCGAGTAACGATAGAGTATGTGCAAGAAGAACAAGTGTTGATGTGGTGTAATTACTAGATTACTTTGGAGTCCGCGCGCGAGCCCTGATTGGCCTGGTGATCAACTTTGGCACGCTGCTGTCGTCGCAGCTAATCAGCACCCTGCTCGACTACAAGGGCTTGGCAGTCAAGAAGCGTATCGTCTACGGTTTCTGGTACGTTGTGCTGTTGCACATTGTCGCTTGGGTCTACGCCTGGGTCGTCCAGGAAAAGTACACGGCCAACCCGCCCGCCTATGACTGGGAGGACAAGGGATTCGTCGAGGGTTTCTTTGTTCTGCTCCTGTGGGACTTTTCCCGGCAGGCCCTGCAGAACTGGCTATACTACCTGGTCGCGACCAAGACGGATAACATTTCCGAGCTGACTCGATTCTCTGGCATCCTGAGAGGTCAAGAGAGTTTTGGCCAAGCCGTCAGCTATGGCTTGAACACACGAAAGTGGGTTGGAGGTCGTGTCCCTCTGGCTGTGAATACTATTTTGCTTGGTAGGTGATTCAAGATGGATTAATTCAATGGTGAATTCCCTGCTAACATTTAACACCATCAGGCCTGGCAGCTATTCCCACATGGTTGGTGGTTCGTGACCATGTCCCAGTTGAGACAACTGAGGCTGAGCCAGAGGAAGTGCCAGGAGCCAAGGGTCCAGAAATTATCGTATAATCAATATGGGCGGAGGCGAAGTCGCCGTTTTATGATCATGGGAAGATGTCATGTCTTGAAGATTCTGCATAGCTGAGATCAAGGTCTTGAAGTTTGGATTGTTCGCGATCTTCTTTTCAATCTGCTGAGCCCAATGTTTACTAACCTAGTGCCAACGTTCGTGACGATGACATGCGGGCCGGGTATAATCTCCTCTGGTGAGAAAGATGCCTCGGGGGAGATGATCGGATCTATTAGGACTCCACGGGCGCAATCTGACGCACAGCACACAACGTTTGAATCAATCAAATACCATTAACACCAATGAAGCTGCTTTTGTAGAATTGGGTACACAACTAGCCTAGGTGTATAGCTCTAGTAAAGGAATGTACAACAGGCCAAGTACTACCAACATATGTTACCATTCCCGAATTTCAGCCCCAGGCCCAGTAAATCCAGGACTGATCCAAGCTTTGCAATCGGTGGACAAGCTGCGCACTTGATCCTCATCAATCTCTATACCAAGGCCGGGGCCATTAGGAATATCGATGTAACCATCTGTAACCTTCCAAACCTCTGGGTTTTTGATATAAGTATTCAAATCTTGGCCGGTGCTATTATAGTGAATGCCCAAGCTCATTTCTTGGATTGCAAAATTAGCAGTAACAATATCGACTTGTACGTTTGCTGCCAGTGCAATAGGACCCAAAGGACAGTGCGGTGCCAAAGCCACGTCGTAGGTTTCAGCCATGGCGGCGATCCTGCGCATTTCCGAAATGCCGCCCACATGGCTGATATCAGGTTGCAGGATATCGACGCAACCGGCTTCCAAGAAGGGTCGCACATCCCACCGACTGTGCAACCTTTCGCCCAACGCAATCGGGCACGCGGTTAGCTTGGACAAGGCCTGGATGCCTCCGATGTGCTCAGAGAGAAGCGGTTCCTCTATGAACAGCGGCTGGTGAGGTTCGAGCAGCTTAGCAAGCTGCTTCGCCATGGGCTTGTGAACCCTGCCGTGGAAGTCAATCCCGGCATCCATGCCTAGAGCTTTAACAGTCTTCAAACGTTGCACGCAATCATCCAAAGCAGACGGCGAGTCTAGCCAGCCCAGATCCTCCGTGCCGTTCATCTTCACAGCCCTAAACCCCTGCGATCGTCGGGCTAATCTAAAAGTTGTTAGTTAGTTTGAAAAGAGTCTAGACGAGAAATCAGAGGGCTTAGGGATCATACGCCTGAGCTTCAACATCGGCCGGCCGATCGCCTCCAATCCAAGCATAGACCTTGAGCTTTGTGCGCAATTTTCCACCTAGGAGCTGCCAGATGGGTAGACCAATTTTCCTAGCTGTTCCGATGCGTGTTGTGAGCATGGAAATTGACTGAGGATGATACTTTACAGGGTAGTCAGTCATCTCACCTTTGAGATCCCACAATGCAATATCGATTCCTGCCAAGGCAGACATGAACACCGGGCCCCCTCGATAAAACCCTGCTCTCCATGACAGTTGCCAGATGTGCTCCACATCACTTCATCTACCGTGTTAGTCAGCCCTTTTTTTTTTTTTTTTTTGAAGAGCCTGCGCGAGTAAAAGCTAGAGTTGCACTCACTCGGCTTCCAGTCCCTTGTATTGATCAAACCAAGCATCGAGACACCCTTCGACTGTCTGCGAGTGTCCCTCGAGGGAGGCTTCGCCCCAGCCAACATTACCGGCGTCGTCGGTGATTTTGACAAACAGCCAACGAGGCGGAACCCGGAAGTATTCCAGAGAAGCAATTTTACCCATGATTGTGAAACGGCTGTCTTTAGCAATTTTGAGGCAATCAGCTCTAGCTTATATCGTAAAACATGCGGAAAATTTGTCAAGAGTATGCGTATCCTCACATTTTTGTCTATTATGCCATTGGTGCATAGAACTACCTGGCTAGTTAAGGCGGAGGAATGATGATCAAGAGTGGACCGGTAGAGATATCGGAGGCGCGGCTCGGAAACACCAACATGGTCGGAAACCCGTACAAAGATAGTCTCGGGAAAGTCTTTGCACGAATTTAGAGGATTACTGCCGAAAAGAGAAAAGCCTGATTTCATCGCATGAACTTGTGGCTTGGTCGTCAGAGATACGGAAGCATGCCGCAACAACAGATCTAACAAACTCCGCGTGTCACGTAGCATTAGCCGAGAACAAGAACCGTCTTATTCACCAATTTTGCTTCCATGGATACAGAACTAATGAAGCACTTGTAGAGTTCCGTGGTCATGATAATCACCACCAAAGTCGTTTTGCATAGCCGCGAGCAGTCATGAGCAAACAATTAGAGCTCGAATTCGATCCTATTTATCTACTTGACTGCACTGACACCACAACGAGCACTGGCAAACTGCCGTTATTTGGGCGCTTTCTGTGCGGCCTTCCAGGTTCGGACAGCCTCGTCTAATTGTTCCTGAGTAGCCTCCCCGAATATGTTTACTCCCAGACGTGCTGGGAAGTTGTATCTACGTCCTTGGTCGAGTGCATTGATTTTATTGAAAGCATCTGCTGGCAGCTCGGAGACTATGTTGACAATGGTAAGTACAAGGTCGTCTCTATTCTCAATCGACTTTCTTGCTTTGGGAGAACTATACCTGTGAGATTACTCTTGATACGGGCTGGCGTGACAGATTTTGGAAGCACTACAGTGCCACGCTGGACCGCCCAACTGAGAAGGACCGAAACTGGCGACCTGCCGAGACTCGCAGCGATGGCTTTGAGATCTTCATTTTCATCGGCTCTGCTACGCATGAGTATGAAGAACAACGCTGACCTATCAGAAGATCAAACGTACCGAGGTAGATTGTAAATGTTATTCGCCAACGGGCTGTACGCCTCGACGACGATACCCTGTACGCAGTTAGTTGAGTCTCCTTGATCGCATACAGCAACAAAAAAAAAGAAGAAAAAAAAGAGCCATGACTAACATTCTGCTTCGACCACTCGAGAAGATCGGGCTGTTGGAGGAAGATGTGAGCCTCGATCTGGTTCACTGCAGGTTTGATAGTGGCAGTTTTCCAGAGATCTTCAATCTTGTTTCGTGTAAAGTTCGAGACACCAATTGTTCTCACTTTGCCCTTGTTCACGAGCGCCTCCATGGCTGCCCACGTCTCGCTAATAGGCACGTCAATGACATCAATCTGCTCCGTCACTGGGTTGACAGGAAAGCGCTCTGACTCATCGCTGGCTTTTTGAAAGGCCACTGGCCAGTGTATCTGATTGTGTCAGTATAAATAACATGTTCCAACAGGAAAAGATTCCTCTTTGTTGGCGTCTCATACCAGGTACAGATCAATGTAGTCGGTTTGGAGGTCAGCCAGCGTGATGTCGAGTGCCCGCTCGACATCCTCGGCCTTGTGATGAGTGTTCCAGAGCTTTCCGGTAATCTGGCGTTGTAAGCATTAGTACCATGCCGAATTACAAATACGAGACGCTTCGGCCTACAAACACATCCTGTCGGTGGACGCCTGACTCCTTCAATCCATCTCCCACTTCCTTTTCATTACCATATACTGCAGCGGCGTCAATGTGGCGGTAGCCAGCTTGCAGTGCCGTTACGACTGCATTTCGGACCTCATTGGGTTTGGATTGCTAAATTGCAGTCAACAACTGGTCTGGAAGTAACAAGAAGACGAGTGCAAACACACCCATGTGCCCAGTCCGACGGTGGGGATAGTATACCCGCTATTCAACTTCAATTCTGTTGGCAACATCTTCCGAGTCTAGTCAAGTCGTCTCAATGGCTGTGCCAGATCTAACTCATGTGCAAATGAAATTTCCAGATCGAGAAGAACGAAAATATAGATGACTGAAATGTTGTTGTTGATGCCGTCTGAAATTGAGGGATTGATCCATTGCTACTAGGTATGTGCAATCCGATCAGCCTCTCTGGTGTCCACTTTTTCAGCGTTTCCGCGCATTTCCTTCCCTTAGGGTAGGTGGCATATCCGACCCCCTATGTGCTCCGGTGTCGTCTATTTCCGGCCCCCACTGCTATACAGGATCTTACTTTTCTTCTTCTTTTGTTTGGCCCTTTGTATGTATTATTATTATTCGGAAACATAAAATTAGTCAAGATAAATAAAATAAAGGACATGCCATTGTAAAATAATAGTTGTTTACGCTAGCAGCTCTAAAGTTTGATTCTTGATTGCGGCACGCTGGGAGTACCTACTTCTACTTACTCATGGCTCACCCAAATACTACCATTTCCCCACCGCCTGGGGCCTATGTACCCGTGCCAACCTTTTTCAAGTCCCCCTCAGCCTCCTCGGGATTGCAAGCCTCTATTGACGTGGAGACACAAGTCGAGCATAGTATTTTTCTTGCAAAAAATGGCATCCGAGGCTTGGTACTCATGGGTTCGACTGGCGAGGCCATACATCTGACAAAGGCAGAACGATACGACGTGGTGGCAGGGGTGAGAAAAGGACTTGATGATGCCGGATTCAAAGACTACCCAATAATGGCTGGAGTCTTGACCAACGGTATCGATGAGACCCTAGAATGGCTGGTCGACTACAAAAAGGCGGGTGCCCAATGGGGCCTTGTCCTGGTCCCTGGATATTTTGGTAGTGCCGTCACACAGGAAAACATCAGGGAATGGTATACAGTGGTTGCAGATAATAGTGCCCTGCCGATTCTGATGTCAGTATCTTGATCGACATTTTGCCTTGGGGTAATCTGTACAACAACTGATGTCTCGCAGCTACAACTATCCAGGCGTAACGAATCAAGTCATGGTTTCGCCAGAGACTTATACAACTCTGGCGCAGCATCCCAATATTGTTGGTTGTAAGATGTAAGCATTCGGCCTGGAGCGTAGGCACCGGCATGTGCACATTTGCTGACTTGCATGTTACCTTTTCAGGTCCCACGGTAATGTGTCTCACCATGTCCAAGTGTCCCTGGACCCTGCCATCAATCACGACAAGTTTCGAGTTTTTAGCGGCTTTGGACAGCAGCTTGGGCCTATAGTTCACTTTGGGGCGGCTGGCGTTATCGATGGCCTAGCTGCCTTCTACCCAAAGGTTGTGGTCCGGCTCATGACACTCGCAGAAGCCCGGCCCATTGAACCTTTTGCTCTCCAAGAAGTACAGAAGCTGCAGCAAGCAGTTAGTGTGGCTCAAGAGTTTATTGGCAAATTTGGAATTATTGGCATCAAGGAAGCTATCTTCAGAGTCACTGGATTCGGCACGTCCGAGGGTGGAAGGCTGCCACTGAAGGGTAAACTACCAGATGGGGCATGGGAAACGTGGCACCTTCGTCTGCTTTTACCCGTTCAAGCGCTAGAGGAGCAACTATGAGTGTACAAGTAATTCTATTAGACGTGGAAAATCGACCACATCAATTATCTAGTCAGAGGTCTTGGTCTCGACTTGATCGTCCAAACGCCAAAGCAAACCTTGGACAGAATCAAGTTCAAGCGTCAGTTCTGGGGCGTGATTTGAACGCTTGAGGACTATTTCTCGAAAGCTTAATGAAAATGTGGCGTTCACTGTCCCCGCTGCCACCCCTGAACATATTACGTGGTGCCTTCGGATAACATGGAAACTGGAGCATCCGCAACAACAAATGCGAGAATTGCTCTAGGTCGACTACTCTTCCGCGAGTCTATCCCGTACATAGTACAATAGAAGCAAGGGTAGCCCCAATAATCGGTACAGCTTTACGTAGACATCCGGTGTGGACCCGCATACGTTGCTAAACACTAGCACTTTTATAATGAGAGCATATCCGAACAGTCTTTAGTTTTCCGAATGGACGGTACTTGCGGGTCATAGGCGGCGCATAACCGAGAGTTCTAGTTGCAGAATGAGGCAATACAATTACTTAGTTGGACATTCTTCATATGAATCCACTATTGCTGCTTCTGGCATTCATATCTGGCCTTGGAAACTCAACTAGACGTCAAGAACGGTGCATGAAATATGGCTGTGGCAACAGAATCTTTTACCAGTCCTCAGTTGACAGAGCCTGCTCATGCTCGCATATGCCTACCCTCTTCCCATGATCAGTTCCCACAAACCGTGACTGAGCTGTTCCTCCATAACGTCGCCAAGTATGAAGATGCGCCATGTCTTGGCTACCCTGCTACAGATCGGGGCAAGGCTGACTATGTCTATTATTCATTTCACCAATTGAACGGTCTCGTTGACAAAGCTGCCCGGTATTATGCAGAATTGGGTCTCATCTCAAAGGTAAGCCATGTACACCACGCCAGACATCTCCAACTCCTGGGCATATATTTAAGCAAGATTTTGCAAGCAGGTATCAGCAACCACCACCCCAGTGGTGGCTCTGCTGGCGCCCTCAAGCCTCGATTATGTCATTTCACTTCTTGCCCTTAGCAGGATGGGCTTTGCCGTTCTGTTTCTGTCCACCCGTCTGCCTGTTGAAGCATACGTCAACTTGCTCCAGAAGACATCTTGTCACAAGCTGATCGTGGCAAACAACTACCTTGCAACAGCAAAGGAAATACAAGAACAATATGATATAACCAGCATTGGTATCGTCGATAAGAGTGTATTGGATGATATCGAGCCCAACGAATTTACATATCCTCAACAATCAAACACAAACAATTCGAGCCAAGTCGCATTCATAATTCACTCTTCGGGTTCGACCGGCCTGCCAAAGCCCATCTTCCAAACCCACGAAGCTTGTATCAAGAACTATTCAAGCGGCATCCCATACCGCGCATTCTTGACATTGCCACTCTTTCACAATCACGGCATATCGACATTGATGAGGGCATTCTGCGCTGGAAAGCGAATTTCCATGTACAACGCCAATCTTCCATTGGCGGGAAGCACCCTGGCCGAGGCCATTGCAGCGACTGGGGCTGAAAGCTTACATTGCGTGCCTTTTGCGCTCAAGCTTCTAGCTGAGACTCCCGGTGGTATTGAGACACTGCAGCGGTGCAAGCTCGTTTTGTACGGTGGAAGCAGCTGCCCAGATGATCTTGGAGACCTCTTGGTAAAGAATGGCGTCTATCTCGTGGGACATTATGGAGCGTAAGTATCATGCTGAAGAGCCGCTTTTCTTTTCTAGACAAGAAGCTAATATATCCATGACAGCACCGAGATGGGACAACTAATGACTTCATTTCGGGACCCCTCGGATACGGCTTGGAATTACTTGAGACCCCTCGAGTCTGTGAAGCCATACCTCAGTATGGTCCCATTGGGCGGCGGTAGCTATGAATGTGTGGTGCTCGACGGCCTGCCGACAAAAGTCATGTCCAACTCGGACGACCCACCAAACTCTTATGCCACAAGAGACACATTCATTCCTCACCCCAGCATCCCAGATGCTTGGAAATATCTCGGAAGACTCGATGACCGGGTCACGTTGGTCAATGGGGAAAAGGTATTGCCTGTCCCGTACGAGCATTTTGTGCGCCAGCACGAGCTCGTCCAAGAAGTTGTCGTTTTTGGTGTCGGAAGAGCTGTCCCTGGCTTGCTTGTCATTCCTAGCGACAAGGCCCGAGGCATGGGACGAGACGATCTATTGCAAGAGCTCCTCCCAACTATCCAAGCAGCCAACGCGCGCACAGAGGCATTCGGGAGAGTGACTCCCGAAATGGCGGAATTTCTGGATGTGGGTGCGGATTATCCTCGAACGGACAAGGGTACCGTCATCCGCGCTGCATTTTACAACAAGTATGCTTCTCTGATTGACGCCGTCTACGCTCGCTTCGAGACACCTGTTGAACAAGATGGAGCTACGTCTCTGCGCGTTTTCAGCCACGATGAGCTTCAGTCGTATCTACTCAAGCTTTTCCGGGAAAAACTCGGGTTTTCAGACCTAACAGTTGAAAGTGACCTTTTCAATGCCGGGGTCGACAGCTTGCAGGCCATCACGGTCCGGGCGCAGATTATTCGTGAGGTAGACGTCGGAGGCAAGCCGCTCAGCTCAAATCTTATTTTTGAATATCCCTCGATTCAAAACCTAGCACAACATCTTACTTTGTTGAGAAGTGGTCAAGAAGTTGTTGCGGACAATGAGGTTGAAGTTATGCAAGAATTAATTGCCAAGTATTCTGTTTTCCAGAGTCGGACGCCGGGCCAGAATGAACCGAGATTTGAGACTGCGGTAAGATAACCTCCATGTTTTGCAACTCAACCGCGTGCTAATGAAGAATATGACAGCTTCTCACGGGTGCCACTGGCTCTCTCGGTGCCTTTATGCTCAGCCAAATGGTGCAGTTGCCTCAGATGAACAAGATATTCTGCCTTGTTAGAGCGACATCGCAAAGCCATGCGCTGGAGAGAATAGTGTCCACGTTTGCAGCCAAAGGACTCGCCCCTTTGACCTTGGACCAGCTAGCCAAAGTGTCTATACTGCCCGCTGATCTCAGCCGAGAGTCCCTTGGCCTGGAGCAACACGTGCTTGATGAGCTGCGTAGCACCTTGACGGTGGCAATTCACTCGGCATGGGCAGTCAACTTCAATTTGGGTGTGCGCAGCTTTGAGTCTCAGCACATCCGCGGCACGTATAACTTGCTCAACCTCTGCTTGGCCACGGATACTGTGCAGCCAGCCCGCTTCTTCTTCTGCTCATCAATCTCGGCCGCTGCTGGTACGCCTATTCCAGCCAGTATTGCCGAGGCGCATGTTGCCGACTGCAACCACGCACAAGCCATGGGATACGCCAGGTCAAAGCTGGTCACGGAGCATATCATCCAAGCCGCGGGGGAGAAGACGGGCATGCAGGCGCGGGTGCTGAGACTTGGGCAGATTATTGGCGACACTCATCGTGGCATCTGGAACCTCACAGAGGCCATTCCGCTAATGATACGTAGCGCACGCAGCTTTGGTGCGCTCCCCGCTCTCGATGAGGTAAGAAAATATCCCATCTTTCCCCCCAATTGACGGAATTTCTGAGCTAACTATACTTTAAAGACGCCGTCTTGGATGCCAGTCGACAAGATGGCACAGGCATGTCTCGAACTCGCCGGTCTGGTACCAAGCTCGGGCGATGCATCTTCAATAGTAGGTGGAGGGGAAAGCATTCACGATGCTTCAGTGGTCTACCAAGTTCAGAATCAACGCCTCTTTCACTGGACACGGGATCTTCTTCCTGCTCTCAAGTCTGCGGGGCTGGAATTCGACATTGTATCTCAGCGTCAATGGGTAGCTCTACTGCGCGAGTCCAACGCGGATCCAAAGCAGAACCCTACGATTAAGCTGCTGGAATTCTTTACGGGGAAGTATGACAATGATAAGCCAGGGCGGGAGGGTCTTGTATTTGAGACGCGTGTTACATCTGAAGCGAGCAAGACGGTTGACCAAGGCTTTGATGTCATTGGAAGTGGACTGGTTGACAAGATGGTTTCATGGTGGAGCTCTGAATGGCGATAAGGTAACGTGATGATTATGCTTGCCTTTGTTATGATTTCAATGGACTAGAGACGCTGCTGCAGTGAATATATTGCTTAAAAATATAAAACATGGCCGCATAACCTTTAGACTGCTATCGGCCTTTTGTTTTGTTGAGGGTGGCGTTCACTCGCAGGCAATGTCTTGATATCGCTCTCCCCTTCTCTGTCAGCACACACAGACACAGAGACACTTTCTATGTAGCTAAGATTTTTCTCTCTAACCAAGCAATGAACCTCAGGTCTGCATCGACTCCCTTCAAGCTTTTGCGTTCTTGAGGAATGAATTTCGACGTCATCAGACTGCATAGAAATCCTGGGGGCTGATACACCGAGAAGGCCAATATCTTATCCATGTGTGCCTATGGCCCAAGCAAACTGCCTTTTCCCGAATCGCTCCATCAAGAAAGGACGCGATTGTGAGAGCATGAATATGACCGAATGCTCCCAAGATGGAAAAGGGGCTAGCAAGCTAAAAGTGAAAGTTGGGGTAGATACCTGGTACGACTAAGTCTCCTTCCCCCGCACTCACCGGAAACCTGGGGGTGTCCTTTTGGGGGAGGGGGGCAGATCTGGGGTAGGTATTGTAGTCCCATGTTTGGCCCTAGGTCGCAAATGGCCATCCGGGGGGAAGAAATCTACCTAGGTAAGTACCAGGTTGCTGTGCATAGCCGTCCCTTCGGAAAAGCTCTCTCGCTGCATGACAGCCTGGTCTTGCTTTCCTTAAAACAAACCCCCAAGGTCCTAGCCAAGCCCACATCTATGTAGGTACTATGCAACTCGATACTTGGCACTGCATCTTGCAAACAACATCACTTATCGTCTTGAACTCATTGCACTTTTCAATCCATCAATTTCTTTCTTCATAAGCGATTCTGCTTCATTCCACATTATTGCTATCTCGTCATGTCTGACGGCAAAGCAGGCGTCGAGACCTTGGAACGCGTCGAGACGTATGTCAGGACACCGCAATGGATTCAAGACCTTACAGTCGAGGAAAGGCTCGAGCGAGAAAAGAAACTACGCGCAAAGATTGATCTCAGATTGTATGTCATCACCTTGTAATCAGACTCCTTCAAGCCTCGTTCAAACCAGATTGTCTGACCTCAATGGGTACACTGGACAGAATGCCGATGATTGTTGTCATGTACATCCTCAACTACCTCGACCGCAATAACATTGCCGCTGCCGGCCTAGCTGGTTTGAACGAAGATGTGGATCTCCAGGGCGATGAGTTCCAGATCTGTGTTAGTATCCTCTTTGTTGGATATTTACTCATGCAGGGTACGTCCGACTGCCGTCACTGATCTTTCGGCGTTTGAGGCTTACCACCATCACATAGTGCCGTCGAATATGATTTTGAATAAGCTCGGAAAGCCATCACTGTACCTCCCTGGATGTATGATCGTCTGGGGCACCATCTCAGGAGCTACAGCAGCCGCCAAATCTTTTGGTGGCATCTTGGCCGCTCGGTTTGTTTTGGGATTCGTCGAGGCTGCCTACTTTCCCGGGTGCCTCTACTTTCTATCGTGTTGGTACACAAGAAAAGAGCTTGCATTGAGGACCGGCATCTTATACAGCGGATCTTTGCTCTCGGGCGCATTCGGTGGCCTCATCGCGGCTGGTATACTGAAAGGAATGGACGGTGTTGCTGGATTATCTGCCTGGCGCTGGCTGTTTATCATTGAATCTATCCTGACTGTGAGTACACCAACTCGAACTCAAGATGTCATTCTCATTCTATTCAGATTATCGTCGCATTCGTTGCTTTTTTTTGCATCCCGGATCTGCCACGGACTACGAAGTGGCTTGACGCGCAAGAGAGGGAGCTAGCCGCCTGGAGACTTGAAGCTGATATTGGCGAGGAGGACTGGGTTGATAGCAGTCATCAATCTCCAACCCATGGCCTGAAGCTTGCAGTCAAGTAAGTAAGCGAAGGGAAGGTGGCTGGTTCGCACAAGTATTCTAATCTCATGATTCATAGAGACGTCAAGACTTGGATCATCCTAGCTGTCATCTATGGTAGCACTGCCAGTGGCTCCATGACCACGTTATTTCCTACGTAAGTCTATGCGCTCTGTCATGTTTCTCTCTCTCTCGTACCGAGGACAAATACTAAGAACGGTCTGAATAGTGTCATGAAGGGCCTTGGAAAGGACAGTGTCACTACCCTGCTCTTGACCACGCCGCCGTACCTCATTGCCGTGATCGCCTGCTTGACGAATGCCTGGCACGCGGACAAGACGGGAGAGCGCTACTTACACATTGCTGTGCCGCCGTGCTTTGCTTTAGTCGCATATGTCATTGCTGCCGCTACAACGGGTTTCGCGCCAAGATATTTGTCAGTCTTTTCCACCCAACCAGTCTCTAGTTGGCATATAACGAGAGAACTGACCGTCAAAATAGTGCAATGTGCGTCATGGTTGCCGGAACTTATTCTGGCTATGTGGTTGCCCTTGGATATATCTCAAATAGTATGCTGTGTCCTGGTAGAATTACGAGACGGCTCAATCGCTAACACGTTTACATCTAGTCCTTCCCCGACCTGTAGCAAAACGTGCTGCAGCTCTTGCCATGATTAATGCCCTTAGCAATGTATGTCAGATATATTCGCCATATCTGTATCCTGGTAAGTTGCAATCGCGTTGATCTATCTCGAGACACCATAGCTCATGTCATGTGTTAGCATCGGCCGCCCCAAGATACACCGTGGCTTTCTGTGTCAACATTGGTATGTCGGCCATGACGATAATCTCGGCGACCGTCCTACGATTCTACTTGCGTCATTTGAACAAGAGACTCGATCAGGATGAGGAAACACAAGATATTGGCTCTGGGAACCAGGCCACCAACGAAAGGGAGGAGCATGGCTTACCTGGTACAGCGGTGCGCCGCGGCTTCCGTTTCATGCTGTGAGAGGGATATGTGCAATCTGAATGTTGTTTCTATATTCTAGATCTAGACATCTGATCGGAATTATGGCTTGCATGGTGGAGATTTTCTTTGAATAAGAAGATTACGGGTGTCCGCAGAAGAGAGGAAAGAGAGAAGAGATAAAGGGAGACAGAAGTGTTCCTGGAATGTCCATGCCATTATACTCTTTTATTTCAATGCGCAGGTATTTACAAATAAACAACCTAAACAAAACTAAACCAAAAGAATCACAATGTTCCGACTCATTTCTTACGAATATACATCTCTACAGCATAATAAAAATATATATATACATATATAAGAAAGGAAAAAAGGAAAAGAGGAAAAAGGA